ATAACGGTTTAGTTTGTTTTAGTTTCTAGTAATTTGTGAAAGTTCTTCGTTTCCCTTGTCATTTAAATTGGCCGTGAAGTGAAAATTCAAACGAGGCATTGTCATACTCGTACAAAATGTGTAATTTAAATGAACCACTGTCTTAATTTAGTCGGCAATTGACAAAACTGTGAAAATAATTCAAATTCAAATTCAAAAATCATTTATTCACGTAGGTAACACAATGTACACTTGTGATTCGTCATTAAAGAAATAAATATTAATGCTTCTAATTTTACATTTACTGCCAGTTCTCAAATCAAGGGCGTAGAACGGAAGAGAAGAACTGGCAATAAACTCTCCGCCACTCTTTTTAATCGCCATGTTTTTTTTTTTTTTACAACGTTTGTAAGGAGCTGCAACCATTACACCATGTTCCACATGACATTTTAAGTAATTAATAATAATAACATAAATAAAAACAAAGACTTGTCCCGTATCAGCAGGAGGCATGGTGAAATAGGAGCACGCACTTACATTCTCGTGGGAACAACACGCAAACACATAGTCGAAATAATTAACATCGCCGCATACACGAATTCAAGTACGACCAGTCGCCACAAGTAGCACCCGTTCACGAGTATGACGCATGGCCAGCCATCGGCCCCCTCGCCATATTTTAGGGAGAGAGACAACCCGACGCATGGACGCCGCCACAAGCAATGACATTTAAGCGAGCATGACGATCCTTGAAATGTGGACTTGGCTACATAAGAAAATAATATAATACATATATATATATACAATCCGTTCATACATATACAATCCGTTCAATAACTAAATTGTAACAGAAAATACGAAGAAAAGTCGCTTACAAAATAGGCGATCAATGACTGTCAATGATAAATTAATGCTGATGATTATCTACCTTACTCCTAATTAGAAAAGCGTAACTTTTAACTGATCCAGGAATTTATAACAATAACATTAAAATTCTCTACATAATATTGTTTTAACTACCATTATAAAAAATAAAAACATTCCTAAATTTTTTCGTTATTAATCAGCTTTCTACAATATGTAGGTACATTCGCAAAAATGCCTCTAGCTATTTAACCATTGACAGAGATTCGCAACAAGTAGTCATGAAAAGTACGTCTTAAGTGCGATTATACATTATTAAAGTCCATATAATCTTCAAAAGTGCCGCCAATGGGGCATCACTGTAAGATAAAACCTATTCTGTTGTCGATCTTTATCGTATCGTTGCAATAAATGTGGTTTGCAATAAACGTCATGGATCATTGATTCCGGATGCGCGTGATTGCGGTTTTAACTACATCAGAATCTACATTTTCGTTAAATTGGCTATCACCTATCTTAGATACAATTGTAAATAGTAGGTTTATAAACCTACTTTGTGTATGTTGCTGTCAGTATTCTACGCTACTAGTATAACTATCTATGGCTTATTCAAATAGGAAGGCAATGAGGAAATTTGAGTTGCGATTTTTATACTTTAATCGTTTCGGAATTCAGGAAGATGCTTCGGTTATCTACAAAACTACTATAATACATTAGTAAGATTTATACAGATTGTATTGTGTAAAGCTCAAGTGAAAACAGTTATAGTATTATAATGACTATACGTGGTTTGGCCTATCTACTGAAGCTCTATAACGGGATCTCGACAGAGACTTGTAACTTCGCCAAGTTTCCATTTCCTACATTACGATAAATACTTCGCTCAAGTGTTAGACGAATTAAAAACTTTAGTGGTATTATTTTCCCATTAAGTAATTTTAAACTGACAGATCAAGGTGGCGTCTTGACCCTCATACGTGAATACCTCACGTAATTTTAATATTGGAAGGTTACAGCGATCCGTACTTTGTTAATGGTGACTTGGTTTCTATGAATACTAAACATGTATTTAAGGTACGTACCAAACAACCTCTATTATATAAAGTTTTTATTTATTTCATTGATGCCCAGCAACTAATTTGGGATCTCTCTTCAAAGGCAAACTATTTCTCACAACCTGAAACAACGATTCTTTTCAACTTTTAGGATCTCCTGACGTGTGCGTTAACGCTACACGTATATGTTCGTGTTGTCGAAGATAAAATGATTAAAAGATGGGTTCATATGGTCAACTTCATGGTTATATTCTTTAAGCCGTTTCTGAATGTTAAGATCCGTTATGGGGAACCCATTTGCACAGCGCAAGTCATTATTTCCTCTATTACTTCAGCTATTCGCATAGTTTTGTTTGCGCAAATGTTTGTTTGAATGCCGAAAGTACGGAGCGAATCTCGATAGTTGATGTTATTACGACAGGTTTGAATGTTCCGACTTTGTAATATTTGAATTTGTCGATGTTATCGACCCTTTAAAAGTAAAAGTTGTGTACCAATGGGCAGTCGTAATTTAACCATTGCGCTGGGCTGATATTTGAATGATTGACATTTCAGTAACATCAAGCGATTACCTCTCTAAAAATCAGTTACTTTTCTATTATTTCCTCCTCTATACCTTTTGTAGAGCCCTCCTAATTTATCTAATATTCTTTTATTTTCACATTAAAAAATGTTTATGTTAAAACACGTAGACCTTAGTTTTAAAAAGGTATCAGACATAGCTACTTTCGGACGTATATTAGTCTAAATGTATGACATTTGAAAAACATCAAGCAACAGCCGCTCCCAACGATTTAATGTTATTACGGCTTATGCGTAACCATAAGTCATGTATAATGCATTTACGTCGTGTTCTAAGATTTTGTAACGTACATTAAATAAAAATTAGCCATGATCAATTTGTCAGTTGCGGAATAGCGACTGTCTGAAAATAACAGCAAATTCCCACTGATTGGATACAGAATCATTTGTTAGTTAATTTTCGTTATGTACGTTGAACAAATTGATTAAGACACTACAATTATAATTAAAATCCCTATTTCATAGTCGATTGTATCATCGTTTTACAACATTTACAGTATTGAAGGTATAAAGGCTTTTTTAAATATAATTCACCCTCAAAACAACTAGCTGATTATATATAATATAGTTTTTCATTTAAAAAAAACACTATGACTTTGAAGATATTTGTATAGATAAAACAAGCAATACACACCAATACCAAAAACTGTACCAATATTATGCGTTCTACCAAGTATAAAACCCAAATACTTGGTCAAACTGTCCAGGAACTATTGTGATATTTATTTGTAGAGGTAAATTAAAGTACATGTATAAGCTACGCTATCTCAACATTTCACATTTCAATTACAAATATTTTTCATAAATATTAGCTGAAGTGTGATTGACCTTAGAGTAGTCTTCTTATATCAAGGTTTTATCAGTCATATTAAAATAACTTCCGTGTATTGATACGTATGATAGTTTCTATTGTTACAAATGTGAACGTGTGGGATGAACTTTGTAATAATCTGCCATTACAACATTGTGTGTCAACGCTCTTATCATTTTCATTTTCTATGTCAAATGTATTTGTCGTCCTTGATTTATTATTAACCATATTATTGTATGTTTATTTTCGCCTAATCATTTTATATCCTTTTGAAAATTGTTGTGCCATTTAAAATCATTGTTGTTAATTTAATTAATTTTTTTTTATTTTTTTTTATTTAATTGCTCTTTGTAGCTTCATGTCTGTCAACTATTATTAATTAGTATATTTCTGTTTATTTTGTTTGTGTCCTTTTTATAAATTTTGTTATCTGTGAAGTTATTTAAGGACACATCTCTAATTATAACTTTATTTTTATTTTTCATTTGTGATGTGTCTGGTGTTTCTTTATTGTAAAATATATAAATAATATTTGCGTTCTAATGCATTGCTGCAATAGGCTTAATTAATTTTTTTAGGCTTAAAAAAGTTCTACTCCATCATTTAATTAATATAATTATGAGTATTAGCGCGCTTAAATTATTAACTGTTGTGTTCATTGTAGTTAAATCGTTTTAAACTCATGTTAGGTACTTATAAGTAATACAATCCCGTTAGTCTAGGTATCACGTTCAGGCTAGTTTATTGGAAAGCGAGTTGCTTGGACCGTGGCCGGTGGTCAGTTAAATCGTAAAAACCTTAAACGCTCAGCTTTAATTTAAAAGTAATTTTCTAATGTATGTTAACTATTTTCTTAACAATTTACCCAATTTAAGTTACGTGAGCCTTTTAAGGAGCTCCTGATTACGGTCATTAACTCATTAAATCGTACGTAGTCGCATTAATTTACTAAGTGTTAGCATAATGAAGCATGTTTTTAACTGGTGATTTAATGAGCGAGAACATCGTTAGCTTTTACGTCTATTAATAGTGAAAATTTAAAGTATTAATTGCTTAATTAGAAGATATAATCATTTAGTAATAGATAGATGATTATGGCAATTACACTAGGCGATGATTATAATTTCCGCTATAAGACGCGGTGACAGAAGTTCATATCGTGACTTGCACTCCTTTATTTGTTTTGTCTGTGGTACCGTTCAAATCGTTGCCTACTTTTCCTAAGACCAGTCTTATAAAAGGTATAAGTCTGGTTATTTTTAAAATAAATCATGTTGCATGCTCAATACAGTTAACAGTAATTTACAAATGCCTTCGCGTGTAACCCTGGCGCTGTTAATGGTAAAGTGACACAGATCTTTCAGCACATTTCTAGTTCTCGTCAACTTAAATGATTATAGGTACTAATCGGATTAACTAGAAAACAAACAATGAAGTAAATGTAGTTTAATATAATTGACTTTAACCCTTTATTAAATAACCCAATTAATTATATTACGAAGGAAGGATATTATTTAATTTCCTTTAAATACTGTGAATTGTCACATAGGAAGTATACAGGAGTAAATATTGTTTTAACTTTCGAAATCACCGGATGATACATTGTTACGTAGCTTTAGCAGAGTGGATTTTGTCTATATTTGCGAAACGACATGTGGACAGGTGTTTGTAGGTAGAACTAGCAGAGGTGCATGGAACCGGCACTTTCACTATTGATTGTGCGACAGTGGAGACTGCCCTCGCCAGCTCCGAAGTCGCAGTGCAACCGCGCCTGCGCGGCTGTCCGCACCGCTTTGCTCTCGCGCAGATATCAATCGATCGATAATTCGAAACCCTGTGCCAATAGTATGCTCCGCTGATCTTAGCCGTTCATTGCTCTGCTGAATATTGAGAACGTGTTGTGAAAAATCTTTGTCTATTTTAAGTAGACATTTCATAAGTGATGTGTCGCGACCTTGAAGGGCCATTTTTATAAATATTTGCAGCGGTGATGTGACTGTGCCAATAATGGATTTTATGTGCTTATCTTTATATATAGTTAAATATATAACTAATTTATATCAATTAAAATAATTATCTAAAAAGAGCCGTTAAAAGAAAGTATTTTAGTATTACGCCATAAGTTTCACTTCGTAAATGTTTGTCAAGTAGATTTCCACATAAAGTTTTATATATTCGTGTCATATCTTTCGCGAATTCTCAAGTAATTGCGAATTCTCTGCATATTTCCTTATTTAATTTGAAAGTATAAGTACAGGCGTATTATAAAAAGGAAGTTAAAGTAATACTAACATCATGTATGTAGTGACCATTAAATTTGTGAAAAGTTTGAATATCTGATAAGCAAATCCGCACATGACGCAAAGTACGACGCTCACTGTAAATAAATAATGACCTAATTGTACCTTACGTCTTAGCTATTTTCGTTACTCCTTGGTACACGACGGACTTCAGACTTCTGAATCAGTCTTAGATCAGAAGGCTTATGGTACACAGGATTTCAAAAGATAGTGAAGGCAACTTTCGAAAAGGGCTTGCCGGTGAAGTGATTTCTAGTTGAAATTGATGAAGTGCGCGTTTACTGAGGTTTATTGCGTTTGAACATTGTTATGTTCCGTGCGAAGATGACATTAGAATGAGTGCAATGTTTTGTGCTAAAATGCCTCATTACGACGAGAGTTTTATTCATGATGATAATTTAAATCAAAGGCGTAATAAACGCAGTTATCGAGTATACAAAAACGGTGCAAATCCTATTATCTTAAGTCAATCCAATGCTGTAAAACCTTTTGAAGTTAAAGGCGATTTAAAGCATATAAGAAATCGAAAAAATCGCGGTAATCGTTATAAGTTTGAGAAATCTCCTATACAAGAAGGCAATTATATTCAATATAAAACACCAGATATACTGATTCATTGTCCAAGCATAAGTGTCTTCGATCCAAGTAAGTTAAATGACATAAGAAATAATAATATCGTTACGTTGACGCCTTGTAAAAGCTTCGACAATTTGACATTGAAACAGACAAAAAAGGACAAGTCGTTTAATGAAACTCTACGAAACGGAATAAGCTTACAAAATTTATCGCGCGATGATAGTCTGAAGCATTATATATCACCATTAGAAGAAAAATGTCCTCTGAGAAAAGGCGATGTGAGAAATTCTTATTCAATTGAAGAAGCTCGTCGAAAACCTGCTCATAGAAAGTATTCAAGGGGTACAGCTGCACCTGGAGTTGGTGTTTATCGAAAAATCAACGGAGATGTTGACAGGAGTGCTAAAGGTTTGAAGTTTTCTTGATCCTTTTTGTTAAGCAAAAATCAATATTGATAAATAATGTATGTTGAACGTGTTATAAGGAAATATTGGCTATAATTAATTACTAAATGGTTATTAGTTTCGTGACCAGTAAAGTATCAAATTTAATAGCATTCCGCGAATAGACGAAAGGTCACGCTTAGAAGCTTGGCATCGAAAAACGGAAGTAATGAAATGAATCGTTTTCTTCCTTGTAAAAGTTGCACCGTGGAAATGCACATAATAGGCTCGATGTTGTATAATAAGATGTAAGAGACGCGGGAACCAACTATTGTACCCATTGTTACAATAATGTTAAGGCCGTTAGCGAAATCATTTTGTTGCTAGTTATTGTTTATAGTAAATTAATTAAACAATGCATACGTTGACCTAGTCATGTGTTCCAGTAATAACTATGTTTGTTTATTTTATCCTATATAAAAAAATAAAATTATGCTATATAATAAATTGGTAGTATCGATCTGGTGATTTATACTAAACGCAAAAAAGTTTGAGCTGTGTCAGTTTCTTACATCCAGGCAGCTAATCTGCTAACTAACCAATAAATTTAAAAACTAACCAATTGAGTAAATATGTATTTGTGCTAGTAAAATATATAGGGTATTAAATTTGGTTGTAACTAAAGGGCCTTCAATATACGTCTTAATATGGGTTATTGCTTTATTTTGTTGTTGTCATATTTAATCAAGTAGCATCGATGTTTATGTTGTGTGCAGTCAGCAGTGTGACGCACTCGAGGCCAGGAAGCGGGCATGACCTGGCGTCCGTCCGCCGCGCCGAGTCCTCAGTCCTCGGTAGCCTGTCTCCGTCTGTTGTCGTGCCCTTAAATAAACTCGCGCGTCATTAGTGATTAACTAGTGTCTGTTGTGTTTACCTTAAGATGTGTATAAATGAATGTCCAAGGACTGTTTGGAATACCTCAATCGTCACCAAGTATTGTTGACAGGTGGGTTGGGCGTGTTAAGGCAGATTAATGTTTCTGTCGTAAACCTGTAATTATAACGTTTACTTTTATGTTGTACATGGACTTTAATAGAAAGTTCTGTAACTTTAGTGGGCATTTCGTTACCTAAGTGAGATTACATCATTCATTGACAACGAATACGGTGTTGGCGTGATGTGTTGACTATACTTACGTCATAGTTATTTCTTCTAAATACCAGAGGTCTTATCTGTTATGGTGTTATTAGTTTTGCCTTATTGGTATTATTTATCATACCTATAGTGAGTACTTTTGTATTTGTAATTAGAACACAAATGTTGTAATATTTTATTAATATCTAGCGAATTATAAATTGTATAAATATAAACCAGCTGTGCATTGTGATTCGCATTTTTGGCTGTAGCCTGTTTTTAAATCAACAAGCCAAGGTTATTGACCTTTTATTGGGTTTTAAATTAAGGATACAATAATAACACCCACGGTTCTATATCCTTATAAGGAGTTTGTTGAACTAATATATTACACTTGAATGTAAGATTTGTATGTCGTCGTACGTCTATTTATTACTTTGTGTCAAATTAGAAATTTTTAGATGAATTCGTGTAGTGATCTAATCTGGCCGTATTACTTTGACTTGAATTAATTTGTTACAGAAAACGAAGCGTGTGCTGAAGGCGGTTCAGGTCATCGGGGGTCCTTGCGTGGCGCCAATAAGTTAGCTCGGCGCGCGCGCTCTTTCAAGGACGACCTATTAGAGCGTATATCCAATATGCGTTCGCCCGCGCAGGCGCCGCATCCGCCACATCTCTCGAATATCAGGTCAGCTGTCGCGTCCGTTGATAATTAGTGCTATATAATAGGTTGAAGAGAATAGAATGACGATGATTCATATTTGTCTCTAAAAAAATCCATAGGCCAGGATTGTAAAGGCGTTTGAGGTTTCGTCTATGTAATCATTTAAAAATTAAAATAGAATTATTCGCTTTGAAATTACTAGCACGCTTCGTGCTATATAAATGACAATTGGTTAGACGACACGCATGATTAAGATAAATAATTTTCTACTTTAATTTTTTACACATTGTAGATTCTGTTTTGGGCTATTTTATAAATTTCTTTTACTTTCTAAACTTTCCGAGAAAAAGCAATCAATTCGTTATTTTTTTAATAATACAGAAAGTGGACCAAACTTGTGATTTTTCACGGTCGAATGAGTTATCGTGTACATTCGCTGTTGACGTTTAAAATAAAATTAATGTTGCCAATACAATTATGTTCACACTTCTAATGAAGTCTTACTCCAAGAGCGAGGAAGTGTAAATCATTTTCGAATTCCTTAACTCAATGTTATTGTTAGGTACCTCTTAACTTGTTTTATCCAAATATCTTCTAAAACGTGTCTGTGATAACAAAAATCATAAGCTCGTGGCTCCACGCCTCATAATAAATGACAGTCGGCGAATTGTAATAGTAACACGTAAACAAATTACATAATAGTATCAATTACTCATTAACATTGTTAATAATGTTTTATGATTAATCAAATTAAAATCTTAAAAGAGTTTAAATTAAATTTAAAATGTTCTGCTCCATGATTTTTATGCTATTCGTCACGAAGCGTTACTCATTTGGCACCTATTTATATAATTTCTTATACTTTCATGCCTTTTACAGTTGTTTTTATATCTTTCTGTGTAAATAACATAGGCTGCACATACCTTATTTTTTTCATAGATAATATATAGATTATCTGTGATAATATATTTTGGCATACTATTTCTTCAGACGTCTTATCATTGTATACATAGAAATTTACAAGTCTCTTTGTCTTATCTAAATTGATATACATACTTGCATAAATAACTTTATCTCACTGGCAGCAACTCAAGAAAGTGTCAGTGCGTTTAGCAGTTTTATCTTGGTCACACGAAAATGATAGTCTTATATAATAGTGTAAATAATGCAATAAGTGTATAAATCGCGTATATTGTCGCGTAATGACTCACGGGGTACGCGCGTCTGTCAAATCATTAGTGAGCTGCGTGCTGTGAACATATTAAATTACATTTGTGGTTAGTGTGAAGTGTTAAAGTTAGTGTATTTACGGGACTTGTAAATGTCGAACAGAGTGAAGTCACCCGTCGGTGACTGGATAAGTAAACGAACAAACAGACTACAGCGTTTCGCGTACAATGGAAAACGGTAAATCTAAATTTTCAATTGCATGTTTTTTACCTACTCGATTCATTGTCCTTCATGATAATAAAAAGATTGTAGTTTACGTTTTAAAGTACGTTTTTCTTATCTAGTACAAATAACAGTTATTTCTTGCTAGTTATTAATACTATATAATAAGGGTTATTTGACAAAGATTAAAACAATAGAAGGCACGAGATTTATGATAAAGGTTGCTTCAGCTATGCATAAGATTCAAGTCTAGTCGTTAATTAAAGCTACCTCTTTGCTCCCTTCATTGAAAATATCGTCGCAAAACCTTTGGTTTATTGAGTCTCCATCCACCATATATAGAAATACAGTCATTAAGATGATACTTTTTTCCTTTGTCCTTGTACTGGTCAGTGTGGGAATCACCCACAATATATTGTTCAATCGTTTTGAATTTTTAGAATTAAGTACGTTAGGCCAAAAACTTTAGAAACAAATAGACTGCAGATAGGAAGAAATACCTTTTTGACGGAAAGAAAAATTGATTATGCCCTGGTATCTTGAAATAAATTATTTTATTACATTGTGCGTTGAACCGGGACTGAATATCATATATAGCTCAGCTTTGTTATTTGTGCGACGTTGGTGCGCATACAAAGTGCCTTTCGCAATACTAAGCATTCCATTGAGCGGTGCATTTGAGTGATAATTTTATGTAATTGCTACTTAATTATTTTTTTATTGAATTGCTCAATCCTTAATTATGGTTGTCGCGTACGTTAATGTTGTGAAAGTACTTAGTCACGTTCGCTAACTGTTATTTTCTTTCTGTATTTAAATGTTTGAATCTTTATTAAATCCATGTACACCGTCTGTTTCTCAATATAAATTTGTAGCCCAATATTTGTTATGGACGCTACGTATGATGCTTACGTATTTGCTATACATTTCTGACCCCTTTCATTGGTCAAGCGAGAAATTTCGTTAATTCATGGAGGTGATATTTCATGGGCACACTTGTCTCGGTGTCTGAAGAGCCGGTCAGATTCTTCAGCTTACCGATCAGGGGTATTTGTGCGCTTACCGATCAAAAGGTTATAGGAATTTCAATTATTCCTGACGAGATCAAAAACTTTAAGAATCTTATTTTTGCTTCTTTAACGTAAACTAACTTCTATGATTGTTAAAAAATATACCTAACATTACACAAACATTTCTTGAAAGCAATTTACCTGTGGTCATTACTATTTAGAACATTAAATACCACAAAATGTGAACATAATGATAACATATTAAGGTTGATTTCAGATCACATTCTCCGCTCAGTCCAAAACTTCGGAATATGGGGAAGGCGAATACACCGCAAGACAATGAAACAACTCCCGCCAAAGAACTCGAACGGCTAGTCAAAGAGGTATGATTTTGTTATTGGTGATTATGTAATGTTTTTCTGTGTATTAACCATTTTATTACATGATTAAGAGCTCTTAAAATCAAAGTAATACAGACATGTATTGCTCACGGTCTGAGCGGACTCCGGCCGTTTGTATGATTATTTTTTTAGTTTGTTTTAGAATGTAAAACAGATTGTTTTCTATTTATTATGTAAAGAAAAATAATAATCAAATAATTATTATAATATATTTGATAACTTATAACAAGTAATTGGTCCGTAGGTCAGATTCGGCTTGAAGCACTTCTCCGATGTCATCACTAAGAGGAAATTGGAGATGTTGCCGGATAACGGCACGATAGTGTTTGAATCGATCGCAAACATACATAAGGGTATGTATTCTGCTGTCTTAAAGTTTACATAACTCAATCTAGATACAGATTTTTATAAAGTATACCATAATATAGATAAATAGGAAAATTCATAGGATCATTTCATACATCAATCAATTATTTGACATGGCTTTTAGCTCCAGGGTAAGATTAAGAGTCGAGATTTATCCCTAAATAATATGACACCCGAAACTTATCATTGGTACATAAAACAGTATTATTTATTTCTCATGAATACTTCAAAAGAATTAAAAACTCTGGCGATTACTACGTCAAAATCTTAGCCATTTTTGCTGACCGGTTTCTTACCGATAGCTTTTAAACCAAATATGTACAATATTTTTTGTTAAATAAGTGACAAATAATATGCGTTTTTGATTGTTTTTAACTTTTTAAGTAAATATTTTTTTTAGCAATAAAACCGTACTGCGGTCGATCGCCGTCCCTCATGAGTGCTGTGAAGCGATTATGCACTGCACTGGCCATGCTAATCCGTCTTTGTGATGAAGTCGCGGTCGCCAGTCTTCGATCAAACGCTGACGACTCAGAAACAGAGATTTCCACCGCAGCCTTGTCTCCGGAGAATGTTAATTCTGTGGTAAAAGGACTTAAGTTGGCGGTAGAAGAAGTGGCGAGTCTTGCGCAACAGTATATGGCAAGGCCGGCATTATCGCCCCGTCCGGCGGTTGTTTCTCCGCGGGCATCGACGCAGAGGAATTCTTTGCCTGGTAGGTTGCATACATTTCTTTGAAATTATTTCTTTATCATTCGATTATTTTGTTCTCAAACATATTTTCTTTATCTTAAACAAATATTGTAACTTTTGTTTGTTATTTTTGTCTCATTTCTTTGCACCTATATTTAACATGTTTTAACACTGACACTCTTTTGGCCTTTAAATAAATGGAATGTCTATCTTTATCTGGCATTTTCTTGCCTTTTGATCTTTTAGTCGTGATAAAATTAAATTATTCCAATTATTTTAACGGAACAGTTGCTACCGTAAGTCATTAATGTATGATATTTTTTACGCATTTTATAAGATGCTTTACGTATATTTTCACTTACAGATATACCGTTAACGCCCAAAGAGAGATCTCTACTCACGGGAGAGCCAGGGACGGAAAATAGCGGCGTACGCGCATCACATTCATCAGAGTCGATACTGGATGCTCCAGACACACCCCCACCCAAACCGGCAAGACCTAACCGGTAAATATCGAAATAAAATTATAGTTATAGGCTTCAACAGGCATTGTAGTGTCCCAAGTATGTTTTGCATGTATGTTTAAAACATGTACTATGCAATTTAAAATAACCTAACACGGTAATACTACTTCAGCCATGACACTTTAATACAGCTTAATAGGAAGCAAATGCTACTAAATTATTCTAATTTCAAAATACATAATTATATTATTAAATAAAATTGCTTGCCATGTCAAAACAAACTAGCTGTCATATTGACTATATAGTCCATTGAAATGTTACAATTTGAGGGCCAAACTTAACATTTGTTAGAGGACGCAATTTTATTTATGGGACCTGTAGGGGGGGTCAATACAAGCTTAACCTCAAGTTTGTGGGGTTGGCGTGCTTGTCCCCCGGCCGCCATCTTGGAAAAAGGGGTCCAAAAACCACGTTTTTGGCTATATCTCCTAAACTATCCATCGTACATAAAACTTGTAAAGATACATTTTGTAGCAAATCGCTGTGTCTACGATTATGTCTATGTAACTTTTTATCATAAATCCAAAATTCAAAAAGTTATAAGTAAAAAAGTGAAAATATTTCCTATTTCTAAAGTTGACTAGGTGCGTCAATGCTCATGACAAGCCGATCAAAACAGCAGTTTTACATTTCTTTTAAGATCTCTCGTTTATTTTAAACAAATTTTCTAAATAATTTTTTTTTTTTTTTTATTCCTACAATTTTACTTATTGGTATTCCTAGTAGGCCTATTCCACAGACAACTTGCTGATATGGTAATCTTCGACATAATTATATTATCAATCAGTTATTAGAATGGTAGCTAGCTATCACTTTTTTATTTATAACGTTTTGAATTTTGGATTTATGATAAAAAGTTACATAGACATAATCGTAGACACAGCGATTTGCTACAAAATGTGTCTTTACAAGTTTTATGTACGATGGATAGTTTAGGAGATATAGCCAAAAACGTGGTTTTTGGACCCCTTTATCCAAGATGGCGGCCGGGGGACAAGCACGCCAACCCCACAAACTTGGAGTTAAGCTTGTATTGACCCTCCCTAGATGTTCCATAAATAAAATTGCGTCCTCTAAAAAACGCAACCCCAAATGTAACTTTTCAATGGACTAATACGTAATCGTAACAAATGGTAGGCTGTCCTGTGTAATACATTAATATATCAAAACTTTTTCAATTTTAAACTTAAATTGTTATAAAAAGTATTCAGAAATAATTAATCCATGAACATGGAATTTTGGAAACAGCGTTGATTTTAAATTAAATTATCTCTGTTGGATATTCATTACAAGTACTGATATCGAAAGTGCGGCAACGTCGCATTGGTCAATATCCGGACGAGAAAAACTTACTTTAACAAACAGCTTGCTATTAAAATAATTGAATGATTATTTAACTATGTTTTTACGGAAATTGCAATTGATTCGTTTAAAAGTATATAATTAAAAATTATAATTAATTGATTAGGCACTTTCGCATGACTGGCCAGAGTAATTCTAAATATTATATAATCATTATGCATAGAAATTTGACCTCGCTATCATAATTTATTAAATTTCGCCTAACACCGGAAGTGACATCTTAGCAAATTACCTAAGATCATGGTTTTTTATACTAGATGAACCGGTGAACATCGTATCACATACATATATTATATTTTAAAATAGACCAAAGAGCTATGAAAACTTCGGAAGGTATCTACAAATATATGACAGCCAAATGAAAAAATGTTTTTCTTAAAGACATCAAATATTTCCCAGCTGAGATTTTATTGGAAATTCAATCGTCGTTTTTAGTATTTTTCTTTACTTATTATTTATGTTTCCCATCATTTAACCCGTTACCTGTACCTAGATCATAACTTCGAAATGGTATACTGAATTTATGAGCATTAATTATGTTTAACATAGAAATTGGATCTCGGACCTCGATAATAATTTAATAAACATTGCATTTAAACTTCAGAGGTGACAACTTTCACTTACGTTTTATCATGTAAATTTAAATATATATGCAGTATTGGCCTAGTAGCTTCAGCGTGCGACTCATTTCTGAGGTCGTAGGTCCGATGCGCGGTTCTGCACCAATGGAATTTCTGTCTATGTGCGCGTTTAACACTCGCTCGCCGGAATTAAATCGTTAGAAAACCGGTATCCCTTAAACCCATAAAAATACGGGGTGTTACAGGCATAAAAGGCTGATCACCTGATTGCTTATTCAGGTCTTAACCAAATGCCCAGATCGTATAGCCGTCAGTGCCTTTTGATCTTATATTTTACCTAAGATGTCTATGTATACAGCATTAATTTGCACTATACCAACATTATAAGATATCACAACACCGGAAGATACCATAAATTATAGACCATATTGGTTTTGCATCAGGTTTATAAGTGAAAGTTTTGCAGGAAAATCGAGTTGGCCCCACCGTTGCCGCCTAAGCGCAAGTCGGCTAACGACAACTCTCTGTTAGGAGTTTCGATTGACAGGTAATATCGAATTAACTTTTTATACAAATTAAACCTTGTTAAGTCTAATTATAATTCCAATGTTAGCTTTCCTCTTAAATAAGGAAAGTTACTTCTAATTGATAGCCATAAGCTTCTAAGCCTGTTATAACGAATTTTGATCGTTTTTATTTAAAAAAATATTGCGATTTCGATTTTTGAACTAAGATAATATTTTTAACTACATCAACATATGGCTAAATTAGTTTGGATTCAATGCTGTGCCGTGTTTTAAAGGCTATTTTAGAGATAATTTTATGACAAGTAGTAGGTGACCGGGTGCCACGGTCACTTAGTAAATATAGTCCTTAAAAAAAACCAGTGGCGCTACCTTTTAATGCTGGGCCTCATAGTGTCTTAAAAAAACTTTTTAAAATTAATTTATTTTTGCAGTTTATCAATGCAATCACATAGTAGCGGCTCTCAAGATTCGATGTTGAACGTCTCAAATGACGAAGAGAGGAATACTCATGATTCAATGAATCATGTGTTTATAACTCAACCCAGTACAGATTTAGTCAGTACGTATTTTATTTATTTCATAATTTGTTTAATCATTTTATTCACAATATCGCGATATTATCCCATTTGTTATTTAAAATAGTGAATTAACAAGGAATAATTATTTCCGATTGGATGGTACAAAATCCTAATGTTTTGTAAATTAATAAATAAATATAATTACATTTATTTATTATTTTATTGTCTTCCCCTTTTTAGAGTCTGTAAGTAGTGTTATTGGAAACTTTCTTATGATTAATATATTTTTTAATATATATACTTCTTAGTCTAGATCGTATTGTTAAAAGTCTTTGTGCAGACAATTTATTAACAAAAAATAACCCGCATATGCCATGTTCACATTATTATCCTGCTACATTATATTAACATTTTCAGGTATATGTAATTGTAACAATTTAAATGAAATGAGGACTTCGGTGGAGTCACACGAATCCCATATGAGTAATGCTCACTCCCATAATCGGTAAGTTATAAAAATCTTGTTATTTATTTAATGCATGAAGTCCTGTAAATCCCCAAAGGCAAAGGGGCAGGTACATTGGTGTATTAGTTTCTTTAGAACTTTTTCAGAAGAACATAATACCAGTTTCTTCTCGTTATTTTTTACGTCCGAATGTTAGTATAGAAAGAAAATTCCATTATTGTACAGCCGAGGTTTTAATGTACAACTGCAAGGTGCACGTTTCGCAAAGCTTAATATAGCTCTAATAAATTAAATAACACATACATTTATATAACTATATACAAAACCATAGTCTACCACAACTGGATAGACCTTTTATGGAACATATTATTTGAAATTAATTTTATCCATAATTATAAAGGCCTTTTATAAAATATAAACATTATTTTTATTCCATTATCATGTTATTACATTGAATTTAAAAAGCGCATTGTTGAATAATACAGGGTGTCTGAAAAGAAAGTTCATATTTAGTTGATCGATTTAAAAAAAAGTAAGTCGTGTATCAAAAAAGTGTTTATTCATTATTAAGTACACATTTTAGGAATTTATTTCTTAAAAATAATACCTTCCAAATGTAAACCCTCGCGTTCGCGGCACTCATTTTATCGAACAATAAAATTACTTATGACGGCTCGGCAGGTGGACTCAGTGACGGCTGCCATATTGTGACGGATATTTTCTTTCAATTGCGCCAGAGAAGTCGGCTTATTGGCGTAGACTTTAGATTTAAGATAACCCCATAAGAAAAAATCCATAGGGTTTAAATCAGGACTGCGTAAAGGCTAATTTATGTCACCTCTCCTGGAGATCAATTTGCCTGAGAAAATTTCACGAACTCGTGGCAGAGACGAATTGTACGTGTGTGATGTTGCTCCATCCTGCTGCAACTATGTTCGTTGTTTATAGCCAGGAAAGTTTTGAAGTTCAGGCACCAAGAAGTCTTTCAAACATTTTCACATAACGCTCTGAATTGAAATGTAAACTTTCTTTTGAGACACCTGTTATAATTCGGTTAAAATAATTAAAGGAATAATTAGTTTTACTCAGAAAATTGTGGTGTTATCGAAAAAAGGGAGATCTAATATGTCTATCAACGTGGAATCATTAAAAAATATTCTAGATTTGTTAGAAGTTGTAACTCATATATTTTGTACAGCGGTTCAAGCAAAAAAAATATTTGATTTGTCATTACATTTTGTATGTATTCAATAAGTGTACGGTACATAAGTCGGCCGGAGTTTTCCCGACTAAAAATATATGGGATTGCGACGCCATCTGGCCAAGTTACGTGCCAAGACTAATGATTATTAATTCAATACTACTATAGAACAATTATAAAATGTTTTAATCACAGATTCTCGAACGAGTCCGGCTTTGTGTCTGTGGGCCACTCAGAGATGTCAACAGAACACAGCTTCACGTCCACCTTTTCGTCACATCACTATTCTAGTCACACGGACAGGTGATATTTTTTTATTAGTATTATTTTTTACATTTCACGTTTCTCTATATCTCTTTGTCTCTGTTTGAATGATTTGTCTATGCGATCAACTTTTTTGTGAAAGTCGTATTGGTAAAACAATATCTGTGCTTTTTCGAAATATGTGAACGCCATATTTTCTCTGGATTTGTTTTATATATTTAATTATTCATTTAAATTCCATTTATTTAATAAATTAGTTCGAAATGTCTTTAAAATATGGCTTTCGTTTCACAAAGGAAATGATCGTAATGTTTTTTAATCGTGATTTTCACTAAAATTATGGAGGTCGCTACAAACGAAATAAGAGAGTAATTAAATTTCCTCTACGCTTCAAAAAACGTACTGAGTAAGCTCATTTATTTATCTATATATTTAAAAAATCTAATTTAAGTAGACGCAATTGCGCAGTTTGCGATTTTAAATTACTAATACATTTTAGTATTGCTAGTTTATTCATATAATAAATACTAGCAATAATATATACCTCACATCTCACCGGTTGGTATTTATTTTATAAAATATGCGTTGTTTGATTTAATTTCAAAGTCTTGAATGACGCCCTCGAAATGTTCATTTTATACATAAATATACTTTACTCATAAAAGAAAATCAATCTCCTTGTAATACTTACTCGGCGGAGTAATTAAATTGTGTTAACTAAAGTACACATTTGGCTCTTGTCGTCACAGCATAAAAACAATTGGAAGAATGAAGCAAAATAATGCTTTGGTTAAAAGAGTAGAACTGGACGGAATTTTATGAATGAAAGGAATATTATAATGCCCGGTTTCGTCGTGAGTACTTTAGAAGTCCAAATTAAATGACGTATGTAGCGGCCTCTTAACACACTAATTATGCAGTAATTTGAGAATACGCAACAATTTCGATCAAAATTGTGCACCTTGCCTAAATATGAAATCAAAATTGTGGCACAATTTCTAAATTTTTTTCACAATCTTAGTTCGTCCTTCATGCTTGTTTGTTATTGTTTGCAGTACTTTTGAAAGTACAGAGTATGTGAGCGGAATGAAGTGCACAGTGCAAAATGAGACCCGCATGAATATAATCAGTATGAACAGTGTAACATCACATAATACAAAGTGAGTGTTCCGCTCTGTGTTTATTGCATGCTTTCAAAAAACCACAGCAAGCGTAGTATTTTTGTTGGTGTTTTTCAACTAATTTTTTGTGGTGTTGGGTTTGGTTAAATTAAGTAGATAATGAATAATATTATTTAATAATATCATACGTAGACAGATATGATATAGTTTTCCTATCTTTATATTGTTTAGTTCTATGGGCAACAATGAGCTTCAGAGTAGGCCAAAAATTCGCGCTTCCATGTACATACTTGATAAAATTGTTACATGGTAAGGCGAGCAATTCGGTAGTACAACGGTGCCTTTACATATGGTCCGCTGTAACTGTATGCGCCCACGGCTAGAACTAACCATCCAAAAAGGGCACATATTTTTCGATGTTTTACGGTAGACAACGAATTACATAGGAACTCTCAAAAGGTCTACTAATTGTGATTTATTGTCACCTGTTAAGACAAGGTTTTTTGTAAAGAAATAAAAATTTGTTTCAAATTTTTACACAATCTAATAAAGTCATAAAACGTTAAACACTTTTTGAGATTGTGGTGAGCTCATAAAGCTAATTCACGCATACATTAACCCGCTTAAAATATGATATAATGTTTTGTTCCACTTCGAATATTCACGGGTGATTGTAAAATGCATCATTGTTTATAAACAGAGATGATGATGTACAAATATTTATAGAACATTAATATTTGGTTTTCCTTAGGATTAGTTTCGGCATCCTTAAGAACAATTTAACCTATTTTTATGCTAAAAAGCGTATTATTTTTAAGGGAATAAAGCTTCTGAGCTTCCAAGGGGAGATAATTATGGTTCTTAATCAAAATCAAAATCTCCGCGTTATATGCTACATGCACTATGCCACGGCATAGGCCTTTGTAGTATTATGTAATTACAATTATCTTTCATACATTAAAACACTGTTTCCGATGAGACGTGATCTTGACACGGAAACCTGGTTTGAGTTGCATTTAAAGCCGCTAAATACTTATATGATTTTCGTTTTTTGCGTGTTTAATTGATATTTGTAAACACTTGCTCTATTCTTGTAAACAAGTCGCTTTTAAGTCAAACGGTTATCTAATATATAAAATTCTCGTGTTACAATGTTCGTTCCCATACTCCTCCGAAACGGCTGGACCGATTCTTATGAAATTTTTTATGCATATTCAGTAAGTCTGAGAATCGGCTACTGTCTATTTTTCAAACCCCTAAGTGATAAGGAGTGTCCACCCAAAAAAAAATATTTTTATTTATTAGAAAAAACTTTTTGTTTTAATTATTTCATGAAACAGCATACAAAAACTATATATATTATATAAAAGCCTTAATTGTCACCCCTCTACGATCAACCCCTATTTTTTTGAACTAAAAAAATGTTTCTTAGAAATAATATACATGGCAAAACGACGTTTGTTGGGTCAGCTAGTATAGGTACATATACAGTACCTACATTTCTTGTTATAATGAAATACATAGTTATTTAGTATATAAATATATTATTTACGTTTATTATTTAAACATGAGGTATAAAACATTAATACATAAAAACGATATAAGTCTTATTGTACTTTTTTCATCACTGCGTAAACGCAATTACCCACAAATAGTACTTTAAAACAATATAATTAAAACTCATTTACTTTTTATGTATAACTTGATAATAATGTTATTAGTATCGCCTCTTTAATATTGTCCTAATCGATTTGTGTTTACGTTGTGGTATTATAAGTCTTATTTTGTATAAGGGGCTTTATCTTTTAAAGCTTTTTTAAAATACTTGCGTAAAAAATATTTTAGTAATTCGGTATGTTGTTACGGTTAGGTTGGAGAGCATAACGTCAGACGAGGGCGAGACGCCGCCAGAGTTGCCGGTGAAGACGCGTCGTAACATTCGCGCTGATGTGCAACAACACTTCCCAAATGTTGAAATCAGGTTAGCTTATTATATCTTGCTTAGTTTTTGAAGAAAAAACATCACTACTTTCGAAATTGAAATATTTTCTTATTCACATGCTGTTTTCAGTGAAGGTATTGGTAGGTTTTGAAACCGATTGCTCTGTATCCGCACTTTAGAGCCCGGGATAGTTAATACAGTTTCTTTGTTAAGGACATTCAATAATTGTATAATTTAGAACCTTTTATTTATACTACTAATAAACCTGTCACTGTAAAAAGGTCAACATGTTTTAACGTCGTCATATTAACTTTCCAACTACCAAAAACGAATGATAAAATGTTTATTACAGAAAAAGTCCGCCATTTTCGCTTCATGACGCAAGACCGCACACGTTAGCCGAACATAACCACCAGCGACCGCCACCATTACCGCTCAAGAAGAAACACAGTCAGTATTACCATAAAAATATGTTTTATGAAATAGTTTTGATGTACCAAAAATATTGTGTGATGATTCCTTTGTGTAATCCAGTAGACGATGAAGCAGGCACATTTCTTCTGTTTCATTATTTTTAAGATGAGAACGGACAACAGATGAGATATGGCATTGAATTAAATATTAAAAAATAAGCAGCGGCGCTACAACCTTTAAAGTCTGTGACTGAGATGTCTGTATTTGTTTAAAGATAATTTGTTTTTTTCTAATAGATAAGTAGGTGGTCAGTCTTTTTGACACACGACGTGGATTTTGTGAGTGTAAGGCATGCCGGTTTTCTCATTATGTTTTCCTTCGTACGAGCAAATATTAAATGCGCACATAGAAAGAAAGCGCATTGGTGCTCAGGCGGGGATCGAACCTACACAACCTTCCGGATGAGAGCCGCACGCTGAAGCTACTAGGCCAATTTGAATAAAAATATAACCGAATTATATTTCAATGCGTATATATCTTTATATGACAGTAAATACTGCTCAGTCAAAAATAAATCAGTAAGACTATTAATAAAACCGATCTGTCTCTTTTCATAATGAGATAGGAAAAGATGATATATTTCAAAATAATATGCTTAATTAAATCATCAATAAAGGGTTTCGGAAAGGTTTAATATGTAGTAATATTGTACATATACGCATTTTAACGGAGAGCGGTTACTAATTACTGGTAAAATCTATCTAACCTCTATATAGCTGACCCTGCATCTCAATATACTACTATAGCCGTAACTTTCGATAACTGATTTCTGAGCTTAAACAAGCAATAAGATTATTGCATTGTCATAATATATGAATCAGTTTTATGAAGTTATGGTCATCCTTTATTAATGGATCGTTTTACTATAGATTAAAAACATAACTGGTTAGGAGCCCTTGTTGTGTGTCAAATATAGGTACACATTCTATCTTGTCTGAACTCTGTATTATGCAGTTTATTTCTGAAAAATATAAATGAATATTCTTATCTTTTGTATTACTATATACCATTTTTCGCATCCTAATTGCGATTTGACAGAATGATGAGCTTTTTTTTGGGCTTTAAAACATTTGAATATCACGAATATCAACTGTTTCTTTAAGCGGGGTCATAAAGAAAAGATCAACAGATATAAAACTTTTAGAAATAAACTGTATAGAATTGTGGAATTGTCCCGTCCAAATCCTGAATGTATTGGGGTATTAAATGGCATGTTTGTTTATGTCGGTGCGGCGTGCAGTGTTTCAAAGCGTCGCCTACAGTGGTGAGTGGATCTATGCATGCATACTTTGCTAACCTTGCTACGGACCTCCGTGGACATTACTAATATCTCGAGACATTACGAAATTCCACCAGTATCACCTCGACGACTGTAGTGCTACAGCTGAGCGGTTAAGGCACTTTTTGCTACTCATTGAAGTATTTCCGAACCAATTGGAATTAGATTCCTTCAAGAAAGCGTGCGAACCTTCCGGCGTGTCCATGGGCGATGGTATCACTTAAGATCGGGTGAGCCTCCTGCCCCTTTTGCCCTCTGATCTGTTTAAAAAAATCTATTATGAATTTGTCACCGAGAACGAAAGGGAATATATAATGCTTATAATAACATTATCTTGAAGTAATTATGACTTAAAAAACTTCCGCAAAACAAAAGGCAATCGAATCATGGGCCCATGCTGTAATCGTTTATCGATTATTATGTATAACGTAAATTAATCTAGCCTAGCTTAATGGCTTATTGCGCGCCTCTTGCACAGTATGAAATGATGATGTCTGCGGCGGTCCTACAGCGGTCTAAACACTATCAGATCCACTCCATAGTACCGACTTATTGGAGATTCATGTGCTTTTAGCTTTTTCATCACATAGCTTGCTCATTGTAGTCTAAGCTTCATGTGTGTAACACGATTGCGTTTTTTACTACGTATTGGAACCTCTATGATAGATTAAGGATAAGCGTAAATATATGCGCAATGTTTTAAAAGATTACGAGATATATTCGTTATATTAATATAAATATTATGAAAAAGTATGGTGTTTAAGGGAGCGTTCAAGTATTACGTCACGCAATTTTAGGAGATTCTTGACCCCCCCTCCCCCACATAACGCGCCGTAACGTTTTTCTGTACCCAATAGTAAAACGCTTCATGGCCACCTACAACATCTCTTTACCTAAAAGTTACCATTATGTGGTGTAAAGTACTGGAAAGTCGAAAATAATATTAACAATAACGCGTAATTCAATCCCCGCCCCGCTCCGTAACGATTTACAAAAGGACCCCTCCCCCCAAAATTCGTTACGTAATACTTGAACGCTCCCTAAAGAGGAAAGATATAGAGTTTCCAATGTAGCGCGTTACGATTGCTATAAGATTTCGTTCCTTAATGTGAATCTAATTAAAATAATTTGTTTAGTTATGGCGTATATGGAGATGTTTGGTAACTGCAGTCACACGATGAACGCCCATCCCCAGTTAAATCCGGAGGCGCCACCTGATATGGCATTCAGGCATTCTATACACACATATAATTTGTCCAGGTAAGATTAAGTATGTGTGAGGAACTATAGTAATTATTATAAGGTATGGGTGCTCCATGGGGCAGACGGGTTTCGCCTAGAATCTCCGTTGCGCAACAGACAGAGGGGGTTTTTACCGAAATCTACTCATTCTTTAAGCATTGTTTTATCTTTATTTGCTATTTAAATAAAAATAAAAAATAAAATAAAATAAAAATCATTTAATTTAGACCATTACAAAATCCATATTTAGCGAAGTATCAGCCGATTTTACGATTTTTTTTCGCAAACTTACTAGTAGTGTAAAAATAATAATTATCACATATATCTACTAATAAGGAACATAATTATAGGATTATTACTTGTTTAATATTGAATTTTAATTAATAAACTGTTTTCTTACATAAAACCTAAAATGTACCTATAAAAAAATTTAATACGATAAAGACTACTCCATAAATAATAAAAAAGTAGGATTAAGAAATATTAGTTACATTATATCTGCAAAATGGTTAACATAATATTTGGATTATCAACATAGCAACTAATGTTTTTATTAATTAGCGTCAATTAACCCAATACTTTGTAGAGATAATGTTAAAAAGTTATTTTTCCTATTGGAATATTTCCTGCTCTATTATTACTTGCTCAATTAATTTTTTGTATCCCGATCGCGCGTAATACATTTTTTTTATTATATAAGTTTACACATTAATGCATAAATAAGAATCTTTCAGCGAGTTTATTTATTTTTCTATAGGAGAAAAAGATCTCCGTAGGAGCTTCTAGGTTTAAAGTAAAGTAAAATTAAAAAAAAAAAGTCTATTTGTAGTAGGTTCAGAAAGCATTCTCTAAATACATGCATGTCAGTATTACACATTAAAAGATGTTGGATATATGATTTAATTATTTAAATGATTTTCAGCGCTCAACACAGCAGTACGGGCACCCTGAGCATAGGTCACCATCAAGTTCAACGATCTTTGGCCTCATCAATAACGGTTCAGCATTTGAGTACACCGCCACTCAGGTGCGTAATTAAATTCACGGATTATAAAATAATCAATTACAATATCAAAAAGTTTAAGCCAAAATATAGCGCTTAATATGTTGTACCCAAATATATAGGAATATTTTTATTCCATGTAATAACTCTATTTACATTACTTTAATTCAAAACTAACTGGATATCAAAGACTATAGGCCTCCTTCAACTGGCTCCATCTCTCTCTCTCTTAGCATTATTCTGCCAATCTCACCAACACATACATAGAGATAGATTCATAAACGACTCTGAGTACTAACTGTACCGCCCGTTGATAATATTAATTTAATTTTAATTATGTGTTACTTAATAATAATTTTTATCAATGTCATATTATTATTTCTCATTGTAATAGTCTGTAATTATAGTTAAAATTGTGCGATACCTGCGATAGAGCGAGATAGATATACATTTGTGTTAACGTTAGAGAAGGACAGACGTATTATTAAAACTTCTATATTTTGACATTGACAGTGGGTCTGAAGACAGCGTTAGTATGATAACATCGAATAGAACGAGTCCACTGCCGATAGAGCCGCCGGCGCTACCTCCAAAGATGAACAAAAACAAACAGGTAATTAATTTATTTGTATTGCCTTCATATTAATTGCCCATTAAATTTCAAGGATTTAATTATATAAGTTATCATACAGTCGATTTTGTATGAAATCATATTTCTTAGTCATTATATCCGAATAAAGATATCAAATTTCTAAAGATTTAGTAAAAAGGTGATGGTCATTTTTTAATTACGTGCGTAATTCGTGGGTTGGGTAAGCCTCATCTCACCCAACGACACCAAAATTTATAAACCTAAAACTAATACATTATTGATATTGATTCGGTCGTGTACTATAAATGTAAATAACGTTAACTCCTTGTTGCAAATGTCTTCAAAGAAATCATAAAAGTAGACGAAAGTCATAAGGACACTCAATTCCTTAATTTTTGATTTGGTTTATAGTGCAATCATCACGATTATAGATTTAGTATTTAACTTTTATATTCGCCTTATAAATTTTATATCTCAAAAATAACAGATTAAACTTTTTGTTACAGGTTTCGATTACCTCAAGTAACGAATTATTGCCTCCGCCATCGCCGCGACCTTCCTCACACAACAGTAGTTGTTCTGCAGATGAATCTATGCTCAATAATGTGGTATGTAATATTTAATTGTTAGTAATTTTAATATATGTATTTTCTTTATCGGAATCATCTCCCAATATAAGAAAAATACTAGAAAAGTTTGGCTCAATTATCGTATATTGTTAATTATCGTTATTCATGCTAATATTAATGATTAATTTTTCGATACAACGTTTTTCGTCCGATATAGCGACGTAGTATATGGCAATTAACTTAAAACAATTTCGGCAGGGGATATTTTTTTTTTAATTTACTTGAATGGTGTTTTGTAAGTACCGTAGAAGGATGTTATAATGGGCACTTCAGTTAAATAAGTATGCAATAAAGTCCTAAGTACCGTAATTTTTCGGGGCCGGGTGCAAATCTAACTGCTTTTTATGAAAATCTATATATTCATGTTATCTATAAATATTCCAGAGTACTGAAGAGATGTATGTGAGCGTATCATCGCCAGGCAAGTTTCCACTTGATGAGGATGAGATTGATCGACTCGAGTCGCGAGCACCTTCGCCTGTACCCTCACAGGTACAAACCTTTTATAAACTAAATTACTTGTTTCAACTACAAAGCCATTTGTTTCTTTTTGTGAAATTGTAAGAAAAATCGATGCGTTCGAGCTTTCAAAAAAGGTCTAATGCTTGACGAAACTTACGTTAAACCAGTGTTTTAATAGAAACGTTGTAATTAAACTAATTAATTTTTTGTTAATAAGAGGGTAATTGAGTAAATTTTGATCAAAGCAAAAGAGATATTTACTTCACTTTTATGTAATTCACGCATTTATTTTTATGAGACGCAAACCTAAAATTATGTCTGCAACCGAACATTACAAACTCTTAATTTCACGAATTTCGATTTGTTTATAAGAATAATAATGATTTAAATTCACAAAACACATTTTGGCAATCAACATTAATTTTAACATAACGACTTTTTGATAGAATATTTTATATTTTGTATACCTACCACATTTTAGTTTAATCACTATTTCGTGATATCTTTAATAATTTAAGTTAATTACAGCGAAGTGAAAGCAGCACAGAGCCTACTCAAACTGAAACTGAAAAATCTCCAGTCGTACCAGATTCGGAAGATATAGTCCTCCAAACGGATGTCAGTACGTGGCTCTTACTCAAAGGCCCGACGAAGGAGGGCGTTGATGTAAGAGGTGGGCACCCAGATGCCCTTATAGTGCTCGCCACTAAGGCTACCAAAGGTACGTTTTTTTCTTTTTATTGATGATTTCGATGAGACATACCCACTGATAGGCATTTTTATATGAATTTTTTTATATGTATATCACACTACACTGTCTAGTAACATTGTATAGAAATTATTATAATTTTAAATTAGGACAAAAAAAAATTATTTATTTATTTATAAAAACACTCATGCCCTAACAGGCGACCCTAAATTGACAAGAGTGATGAAACAAAAAAGCAAACATACAAAATTAATTAGAAAAACAAAATTACATAATTAAAATACAAGAAATTAACTAACTACTATAGGCACTAACAAATAATAGAACTTTTGCCAGTTCACTTAACGGACAAAAAAAAACTATGTAATTCATATTGTTAAACATGTATAATACTACTTGATCCAGTAGAGGTTTTCTATACACAATTGATAATATTATATTTGTTCTTTTTTAAACCACTTTTTTATAACATAGTTTGTAACGTATGTGGGACGAGATACGCGGTTCGCTCGTAATTTTTAACCCTAATTAGGTTTGATCATTCCCAAAAAATCCTATCAGTGCGTATGTAAATTTAATTCAATTATGTGTTTAATGTGAATGTTTATGTTCATACTGTCCTAATTTTAAGCATGTCTCCAATTTATCATTTTCGTCGTAGGATAAGGGTTTATAGAAAATCATTCTAACCACTTAACTTTCATGCTTTACAGAATCGGATGAGTGTAAGTCAATCATAGTATGGGCCTGAGACATGCTGGTTCACTAATTTATTATTAGCTTACTTGCTCATGTTGCAAATAATGATCACACGCTTTTCGCTGAGTTTGATTCACCATTCAAATATTGGGTTAAATTTGGGGCCGGGTTCTAGTTTGGTTGATTCTGGAATGTTATATTAAGATAAAACGCACCTACGCACAAAACTTTATAAATTTTGAAAATTCTTTCAAATTTGTAAAGAATTTAAAGCACCTTTGTTTGTTTAATGTCATGGCATGTTAAAAATATATGATCGTTAACATGCGCTAAAGCATGCTGGCATGGAATAATATCAGTTTTGCCTCAATTATCTTGTGATGTTTGCATTTCAACAACGTCGCAAATAATGCAAAATTGTTTAAGTAATGAATCGGTGTGTGCCCAGATATTTCATTGAATTTGAATTGAGAAATCAAATATATATTGTATTTTGTTTGCAATAACTGGGCTCACCGATTCACATATTACGTCGTAACCCATAAAGAGCCTTAGCTTATTTTTACGCAGACTTCGCGTACCAGGAAGCGTTCCTGGCAACGTACCGTACGTTCCTGGCACCGCACGAGCTCGTCTCGCGATTGGTGCGTCGGGCACGTCACTTCAGACCGCGTCCGCACGAACTAAGATCCACACTCGGTCTGCTTACTAGAGTTATTGCTGACCTCACGTAAGTTTTTAGTACTAATTGTGTTGTTTTACATGCAGGTCTTCCAGTTTTGAGGTAATTCCTGAAAATTTTCTTCATCTTTTATTTTACTTACTCAAAGCCCTGTACCAGCTCGCGTTATCAATTTAAGTGAATTTAGATGATCCCGGCGTCTTTAATCTGCTAGAAATATTACAATAACATCGACAAACTTATAATGACATAGAATAGAAATTTATTTGATATTGTTATAATTTTTCAGAATGTCAGATCTGGATAGGTCGTTGATGCAACAAATTATGGAATTTATATATTGGCTTGTTGAGGCTGAAGAACTGCCTATTTCTAAAGCTTTACGTCAGATTCTGGTTGATAAACAGAAACAACTGCATTTCCAAAATGTAAGTTTTGCTTGAGTTTTCAAGTTAGTTGTATAATATTCATTTTTTTTTTGTATTTCTTACAATTTTCTAAATCCTAGTCGTCATATATTATCAAATATTCGACTCCTCTTAAAAACTGTTTTGCAAAAATGCTTCACTGTACTTGTCTATACAAAATTCAATTAACTCAATTTGTAAGTGTTACATTTTTAATTGATTTCTGCATAAGACTGATAGGACTAAAGTCCATATATTATGTTTATTTAATAACAATTTTTTTTTTGTATTGTAATTAAAAATATTTTTTTTATTTACAATACGATACAATACAATATTTCAGACAAACAACAGATTCGAATATGATCCATGCTATGGAACAGTTTCCCTCCGACGGGACACATTATTGGACTTTAAGGCATCTGAATTGGCCGAACAAATGACAGTACTAGACGCGGCTTTATTCGTTCGAATAACGACAGCGGAACTTCTCTCGTGGCCAAGAGATCAGTCGGAAGAGAAGTCACCGAACCTTACGCGTTTCACGGAGCACTTTAATAAGATGAGTTTCTGGGCGCGATCGAGGATTTTAGAGCAGGTATGGAGATTAAAAGATTAGTCTTTAATTAAAGTTAAGACAAATAATTTAAACTAACATTTTAGTTGAAGTGGTAATAGGTTTCCCAGAAAATCTCAGTAATTCTTTTGATGTTGAAAAAGAATAAAAGAATTATGTTCGTTTTGACATTTATAAAAAATGAACTCAATGTACTAATGTGTTTTCCATATAAAAATAATGGTAGTCATGGTAAGAGACACGGTACAAGTCCGCGTTACTCTCAAATTTTTAATAATTGGTTATAACACATAGCGACTCTTGTACGGTCGGGTTATATATGTTAACGTAAAATTGTAAATACCGTTAGATTGTAATCTATCTCGCGAGATTATAAACTGTCGAAAGATTGTGAACTCAACGTACTGCTTACAATTTAACGTATTTCATTCCTAACTCTATGGACATCTAGCGGTCTACTATAAACCCGACCAATAAGCGCGCGAGGTGCGTACCGTTTCACAATTTGACGATTTCACTTCGATAGATTATAATCTACCGAATAATAATACGTTAAATTGTAAGCAGTACGTTGAGTTCACAATCTTTCGACAGTTTACAATCTCGCGAGATAGATTACAATCTAACGGTGTTTACAATTTTACGTTGACATATATACTATACATAGAAATTTAAAGAAAAAAATAACGCGTTAATGTTTACTGACATTATAAACTATCTAAATTGAATGTGTAAAAATGATAAGACATCCGTCACATGAAAGTGTTTATACAAGAAAACATTTAAATAAATATATACATTAAATTTTCTAGGATGAAGCACGCGAACGCGAGAAGTACGCGAGTAAATTCCTCAAAGTTATGAAGGCCTTACGTAAAATGAACAACTTTAACTCCTACCTGGCTCTCGTATCGGCGTTAGACTGCCCTCCAGTTAGAAGATTGGGGTGGGCCAGAGCTATAGAAGACGCCTTGACCGATCACTGTACTTTGATTGATTCATCCATGTCCTTCCGCGCGTATAGACAGGCGCTGAACGAGACGCAACCACCCTGTATACCTTACATGTAAGTTTAGATATATTTTTTTTTTTTATAGAACGGGCAAACGGCAGGAGCTACCTTTTAATATACCGCCCCCATAATCTCATAGAGGGCTCGCGAGTCTTCCGGCCTTTTAAAAATTGGTACGCTCTTTTCTTGAAGGACCTAAGTAATTGGTTCGGGAATACTTCAGTGGGAGCTTTCCACATAGTGGTGGTGCGCGGCAAAAACTGCCTTGAGAAACGCTCAGTTGTGGAACGTCGGACGTCAGGTGATACGGGTGGAATTTCGTATTCTGCCTCGACGTCCATATGAAACTCAGCTGCAGGTATTAATCCGAACAACTCCTCTGAACACTCTCCATGGTAAATGCGGTAGAAGATGCAGAGTGACCCCACATCTCTACGCAACGCCCAAGGATCAAGCCGCTCGGAGAGGGATTGGTCGTCAACATTCGAACCGCTCTGCGTTGTATACGGTCAAGTGGAAGGAGCTGGTACTGGGAGCCCCCGCCCAGAGGTGAGAGCAGTACTCCATGTGGGGCCGAATTTGCGCTTTATATAGTTGCATCGTGGCCGGAGTAAGTACCTCTCCCTCTACCCCAACTTTTTGGAGGCTAATTTAGCCTTTCCTCCAATACCCAAACTGAACGTCCTCATATGTCAACGCCAAGTATTCCAATGCTGCTTGGCTTTAAGAAGAGTGTTTTCGAAAAGAGGAGTAGCGACAAAGGGTGTTTTTTTAGCGGAAAACGCGCAAACTTGTGTCTTCTTGGGGTTAAATTGGACTAGGTTTTGTCTGCCCCAATCTAGACTCCACAAGTAGAGTTTCAACTTCAGACACAAGTTTGTTCCGGTACTCATCAACAACCCCCAGAAATACCTGCCCCCAGTGTAAAAGTATCCCCATACTGTCATCCCATAGCAATGAATGTTCTAAGTTTCAAATATCATTGATATGCAGAAGAAATAGGGTCGGGGATGAACACAGCCTTGTGGGACCCCAGCGTTTACGGGTTTTAGGTCGGAATCTCTATACACCTTATCTCCATCGGCCAGAAAGCTGGAGATCAATTGTAATTTCTCGGAAGCCCATAGCTGAAGCTTCAGACATCTCTTCCCACCCATCGAAGCTTTCGCTATTCCAAACTAACCCTACCCTCCCCTTGACTCAATTGCCTCTCCCATCTATGTTAAGGTTACAAGGAGGTCACCACCAGCACCACAAACGTACTAAATCCTAATCAGCTGGTCCCTCTGATACCTCAAGAGCTGGCTGTTATAATGGTTTCCATTATTTTGGAGAACAAGGAGGTTATAGCTATTGGGCGATAGTTGGACGGATCAGAGCATCCTTTTTAGGGATCGATGTATCAAAGCGGTCTTCCCCTTCACATCCACAGTACAGTACCAAAAGCGCTTAGACCGACCAACTCAGCCTACCACACAATTGGGGGATACCATCCCCCCCACTTATGAATGTCCAAGGAAGATAGTGCTTTCGACAGCACGTTCCGGAATGTGATTTCCGGCATCGAAGAATCACACCCGAAATGGTCGGTGGTGATCTCCCTCGGTATCAAAGTCGAGTTAGACCGAAGAGACAGCCCAAAAGGTCAGCCTTCTCCTTCCAGTGTGGGCCAGAGAGTCATCCTCCCTGTCAGTGGCGGAATGGCGGGCTACAAAAATTCCCTTGACAGCTTTGGCAGAGACCAGAAGCTCGAGTCCCTATGGGAGTTGGCCAATCTCTCCAAATCTGGCAATGTGCTCTGACTTTGCCTTAGTGATTTCCCGTTTGAAGGACCTGGAGGCTGAGTTATATGCTTTTTAAGTTCGCTGGTATTGGCATCACGAGATTTCCCGCTTCCCCCATCCTTAAACATTCTCCTTTCACCAGGCCCCTTCAAGAACGTTTAAACCAGGGCTGAGACTTCCACCATCCACCACAAAAATGGAATAAAGAGTTCCATCCCTCAAACCACTTCGCACAGAGGCGCGACGAATCTGGAGCTTCCCAAAGCCATAGCCCCCAAGGGTAGGACGCAAAGAAAGACCCATCCCTCCCAATCTCCTTATATCCAATACGCGACAACCCATAAAGCCCTAGGGCGCTAGATGGCACAGTACTCCACCACACAATGATCTGATGAACCCAATGGCGGGTCAACAGAGACTTGATAGTTCTCCGATGAGAAGTCAGCAGAAGGTCCAACAAAGAGGGTTTATGACCATCCACATCTGTATTCGCGTAATCCAGGGACCATTTGTGTCAGGTCGTAGGCTAAAGCAAAGTCGTGAAAGGATCTTCCCCTATCGGTGGTTTCAACCGAGCCAATCGGCATGGTGGGCGTTAAAATCGCCAAGTATCACGATTTCAGCGGTAGGAACCCTTTCGAGCAGGGAATCTGTAGCCATTTGGATGTGCTCAATGAGTCGGTCAGTTTCGGTATTTCCGCTATGGGACCTATACAGGCATGCGTAGAATCCATGGTCATCGCAGTCTACCGCACCAGAGGTTAGATAGGTCCCTTCCTTCAAGCCCCGAGCGACGAGAAAGATATCCTCTCTGACGTACACCAAACTCCACCCCCACAAATGAATGTTCCAATTTGTACCCCGGGTAGGATAGGTGGGAAGTATCAGCCGGGAGGATATCTGAGTCTCGGTAAGAAAGAGCAAGGCCGCTTCGCAGTCTCTAATATAGTGGACAGCGTTGATGTTAGAATTAAGCCCCTAACATTTGTGAAGTCCACGCAGTGTGGACGGGGTGCCTTTTATAATTGCTCCGTTTGCCCCGAGGACGATTACTATTTTTGTAGAGCCAGAATTGCCCCCAGAATACGAAGGGCAGCCTGTGCGTCCACCACCGGGTGCTGAGTGTCCCGGTGGTGGACGCCCAAGGGGATTCTCCACCCACCTGTGGTACCCCCTGGGGTAGATTTGTTTTTTCTCACCTTCATATTTCTTGTGTGGGGGGATGGGCTCCAATCTCCTCACCCACAAACGCGAGTACAAGAAGGCGAACCTTTGCATCACTTCACCCGGTTTTCTGAGAGACAGTGGTACTGCCCCGGTCGTGCCTGCCCATTTGGCTGAAGCCCGAAGCAACAGCATGGCACTCCCACTAGGAAGGGGTTGACTGATTGCGCTGATGAAATAACCTCTGTCACAGGTTATTTCACCATGCGATGGGTCGTACTCCCACCCTAAAATTATTTAGATATATTTTATCCATAAACGTTACTTTAACGCCTGAACCTAATAACCTATCTCAATCCTTAATCCACCATGTGAGACCTTAATCCAAATGTAGTACAAAGTGTGCCAATAACCAATCGATGGATTGTAATAGCCATCTGTCGATACACGCTATCCATGGGAGGTATGATCGGTGTCTGTGGATAGACCTTTGTATGAAAATGACAGTTGACGAAAGCTCCATTTCAACAGTTTAATTATTTTAACATATTTTAACTTGCACCAGTTTCTTTTATATAATTAAAAAACTGTTTGTTATTTTAAACATACACATGTATATTTGTTATTTGTACGGTTTTATTTACTTTATTTGGTTTACATTGATTATCAAATATGAGTGAAAACTCGGTAAAATGGAACGACGAATTTTATCCGTCGCCAAAAATGGATTGTCTTCGTAGGGTTTAGTTATTGGGATGCAGATAGGTGATCGATTGACTGTCGCGGTCTGATCTCAGATTGTTTTCAATCTGAGATTGTGGATTAATTATTGGGTTCGGGCGTAAATCGCTATCAGTCTTATTGATCTCTAAAATATATGTAATGAAACATTTTTTATTCTTATCATTCTGGGGTGTCGAGAAATTTTAGATGGTCCGATTTGTAACCCAGTGTGTATGTAGGTTTGAGCCAAGCAAACGCATATCTAAAAGATCAAAACTTATAATTTTGTAGCTAATTTATTAACACATTTCTTAAATTTTCAGAGGCCTCTTCCTGCAGGACCTAACATTTGTACATGTGGGAAATCAAGATTTATTACCCGATGGCAGCATCAACTTCACAAAACGATGGCAACAATACCACATTATGGAGAATATGAAGCGGTTCCATAAAGAGTAAGTTGCTAAGTAATGAAGGCGGAAAAGTATTGCAAATGTAATTTTTTTACACAACTGACGCTCGCAAACTCGTTTGAGACAACTTTATTTTTGTAATGTATCTTAATGTATCTGTTTTTATGATATCTCAATTAATAAAACCAATATGGTTCTATGGGATACAGCTCTGGGGGTCAACAAGCCGCTCTAATATCGAAATCCTGCAGCGGCAATTAAATAAATCCAAAAAAAAATCTACTGTGAGATCATGCGTCACCCGGATACAGCCCGTTGTCAAAATGGTCGTGAACTACTCTATGTTTCGTACTGTGAAGGAAGTGTTATTTAGGGAACTGTCATGTCTGAGTCATAAAAAAAGCAGATGCACAAATCTAAAAACACATAAAAAGTCAGGTCACTAGATAATACAGACCGTGGTCGAAATGATCGTCATTAACGATTATTAACAATTTTTTTAGACAATACAAAATTAAGAAGAACGATCGCATTCAAGCAATGTTCAACGAGTTCGACGATGTCCTAAGCGAAGAGACGATGTGGCAAATATCTGAAAGCATCAAACCTAGAGGCGGGCGCGCTCGTAATGCTTCTGCGCCTTCGCCGCCTGCGCATGCAGCTACTGCCGCGACATAATTGTTAGGTAAAGATTTTCTAGATTTTACAATATCAAATATATTTTACAAAATTTCATCTATAGTTTTCATGTCTAAACCAAAACCGCGTAAAAAATAAACCGCCATAAAGTTTATTCGAAATTTATACTCTGTAACACGTTATGGAATGATGTGTGTAACTGTCAAATTAGGTAAGACTTGTCTGGTATAACTTTACTTGTACTTTGGCTTCCTGTGACTACAAAAAATGTTCCCAGACTACATTTTCTTCCAATTTACCTTTTACAATAATCATATAATTCTCAAGCCATTGAAGAAAGCTTGGAAAGTATTGGTTTTTTATATTCGAGGAAATTTCGTATTCATATTAGAATAGATTTACCCAAATTTTGAAGTTCCACAAGCCCTCAAAAACACATTTATGTTTCCATTTCATTTTGATCCTTTTTTTATTTCAAGTATGCGTGTACAAACATGAAAAAAGTGCTGTTACTAATAGAACAGAACTTACGCCCGATTTTTAGTGGATGAAGGCTTATGACTAAATTTATTAAAATTGAATTCGAAAAATCTTATGATTAGATACATGTTGTCAATTAGATTTAACACCTTTAATTAATTGATTGATTTAATTTACTATTACATAACTCGCTAGGTTCTTATTTTATTTTAATTGATATTAAAATATTTTGTATATCTTTCCAGGTGTACTTTATAAATCCAAAGAAATTGAAGTGGACTGACTCGGGATTGCACGAGGATTTGTTATAACAGAAAGGCCTAATTTAGTATATAGTTTTGTGATTGGCGATAACGACTTTATTACACCTACTTTTCAACCCAACTATACAATTTTCTACTTCTAGCTCATTATACTATTTCTATATTGGATTACATGTAGACATTATTATGTTTTGTTATACATTAATGTACTTTTTTTTAAATTCTGGCGCAGCTGAGGTCTTTCGACTAAAGTGCTTAGCAAATTTAACAATCTCGTATCAAAATATAGCATAATGGATGATCGTCACAATCCTGATCTAATTTTTTTTTAAATTTATCATCGCTACTTGGACTTCGATCTGAAGTGTGATTTTTCGCAAGTAAATTGAACAATATCGCGGCACATAAATAAAATATGTAAATGCTAATGACAAGCGACGCAATGTTCTAATGTTAAGTTTTCATATGCTATTAATTAACACTATATTCAATCCATTTTGACAGTGCTGTCAGCTGTCAAACAATTTTGACTTGACACTTGTAAATCATAGCTCAAGACGTGTATAACAAAACGTAATACATCATTAAACATCAATTACAAATTTTCACTAACGGGTAAAGTAAATTTAGCATTATATATTATTTTCAATAATCCAATATCGCTCATCCAGCGAACAAAGAAATAGTATAGTTATTTTTGTATCTTACACAGTATTCGAAATCTATCAGTATTGAAAACCCTATTTTCTTACTATCTCAACATATCAGTGACGTAAAGTGCGTTCTTAAATAGATGAGAAGTATTTGCTTAACATCTTACATCGAATTAGAGGACTTTAATAGGCTTATTGCTAGACGTAAAATAAGTAGGCTTAAAATTTTAACTATCATCGAAACTTGTTTGGACTTTGGGACTATGTCCGGATAACAAATGTAACAACGCTTTATCGGATTAAAATTTTACATGAATTTTGGAGCTGGCAAGTTACGTAAATAATCGTAAAATTGTGATGAATGAATTTTAATCTGGTAATAAAATGTGATATTCGCGTTAATGACATTTTTCAGTTTGGAAGTCTGTTGACACACATGTGTGTGACTTTGCCACAGATCTCATAATAATACTATTTTCTTGCTCCTGTTAAAGTTGCAATATAGTTCTCATTGCTTTATATTAAGGTTGCTTTTGGAATAGCATCTTTAAAGATGTCAAAATTAAAAGAAAATCTACAATAGTATTATTGTGAAGTTTGTGTCTCGTGACTAAAATTTAATTAATTCATCGTGTTAGCTTAGAATAGTGTGAAGTTGTTTCTATTATGATAATGCTAAACGTGCCTAAGTTATGTGCATCTTACCTCTATTGGTGACAGAAAAATTATACAAAAATCTTTTTTAGTCTTAGAAAAAAATATTTTCAGTGAACGAAAATAAAAGCCTTTTTCTGAAGGGCGTAGACATTTTTTTGTACAAATGTCTGCGAAATATGCGTAGTACGATTGCATTTAATAGTTCTGTGGAGGAAACTTAATGAGTCTAATTTAGAAAAAATATTTCGAACAAAAAATTATAATTTTTTTACCCTCAAATCAATCAAATAATAGTTTTTCTGTCTCTAACGGGTAAGTAGTGTATAGTAGCTTCTCTTAAGACTCTGATATTGTTAACTTTGTGTATCGAATGTTTGTCGTCCGTCATAAAATGTGCCAAAATCAACGAAAAACTATATCTTCTCCTCGAATTTATGGGTTCTTGTTGGGCATTACACTATTTGAAATAAATCAGTGTTATACGCGGTTGTCTATAAATCTGTCTCTTTTTAGCACAGCGTTAACACAATTTTATAGTAAGAGACGGGTTATATATGTGTAACCGCTTAAAGATTTCATTTTTATCAATAAGCAAGTACTTTGAAATACTTTGACATTATTTATAAGAGTTATTTCGCAATATAGAAATCGCCTCTTATTTCGTCTTAAGCGTTAAATGCCTCATAATCTAGACTCTGATTTTATTATATTTTTAAAGTTACTGATAATTTGCGATTTATTTCTAGCATCACATTAGCTTAACTCAATCTTATGAATATCATTCTATACGTTATAACAATAGATAAATATTTTCGTTAGTATAATATATATTTGGAATTTCAATTTTACTATATGAATTTTTATGTATTTATTGTAACATAATTAGCGCAATGTTTTAAGCGTCTTAATGAAATTTAGTTTATTTTTGATATTCAGAAATTCTATTTTTCCTATAATGTTTCCTCAAAGGAAACTGAATTTTCTTAATGGAACAATGTAAAATTTCTTCGTCACGTGTTGTGTCATTCATGAATAGCTTAGATTCGGGACTCGTAAAGATAGACGTGACAAGTAGTTCTAGAGTTTCTTGCGATTTTTCGATTATTTAATACTCCGTTTTTCAACACAATTTTTTTACCTCTATGGTACCGACCCTGACGGGCTTGCTTGGCGCTTACGAATCTTATCTGATAGTAAGAATATTTACAGCCAAGTTCATAATGCTCTTCCCTCTTGTTACTAAGCGTATTATTTAGGACAAGTGAAAAGCCAGCCAGTCAGTAAAGACATAGCCTTAGACAGTGTCTAATAATAGCAATAATTTATTCGAGCACTCCATGTGATAATCACTCGTACGAGTGTTGCTTACAACTCATTTGACGTCCTCTATACGTAGAAAAATATTATTAGACAAATATTTAATGTAAGCGTAAATAAACCCCATTTTATCGAAGTGTAGTTGTCTCAATATAGTCAATAAAGCTGTCACATACATGTTTTTAGAGTAATTTATACATTGGAATGTGGCATACCGCAAACGTTTTATAAAGTTTTAATCTGTGTTAATCAGACGATAAAAACACGAATATTAATGGTCGGTCAAAAGCTTCGTACGATATGATTTATTTATAAAAAATCCATATCCATCCTTATTGTCGAAATCGGGTCTAAACGTCGCAATCGCACGGTCAGTCTAAAGGCAGCTTTTAGCCGCAATAAAACTATTGCAGATCAATCCAATTACTTAAATATTTTAACACAACATAGATAAAATCTTAACGAAATGAGATGAAATATTGTCACACTAAAAACGAAAAACAAAGCGACCATTAAGTCTAACTATTCCTACAAACCGCACAAAAACGGTGTGTCATATTGCGATGATTATATAAACATTTGATAGAATAATGAGGGCAGTAAGTAGTATATAATCGCAGTGTTAGTGTTTTGCATGTTAAGAGGCGTCTCAGCAATAATTACTAGACCAATATTTAGATCGTTTTACATCGCTTTACAAATGTTTGTCTTAATATTGTATAAATAATTTGTATGTTTTGGTAGGTTACCATTTTGTTGGGTGTTATTGTGAAGTTCAGTAATATTGGTGTTAAGAAGACTGCCTAATTTACTCAATAGTGGTAATAATTATTGCATTGCTTATCAAGCGATGAGTTTTCTGTGGCAAACACGATTATTTATTTAAAATGCATGGTACATTTAAGTAAAGCGTACATCGTATGTTGTATTAGCACAGTATTATGTTATGAATGCCATAATGTATCAATGGATTATCACCGTTTATTTATTAAACGGTTTCTGTTTTTATTTTACTATTATAATTTGTACATTAGTTATCGATTTGTTTGTCGATAAATTATTAATCATTGTATTTGATTTGCATGCGTGTACAGTACTTTATGTGTGTCGAGATTTTTTTTATAATTATTTGTAATATAAATATAGCACGTTATTTACAATACCATAATGTATGTTTTATTTTAATACCTTATTACATCGTAATACTTAATAAAAAGAAAAATAATAAATTATTTTATATCTCTATTCGATATCTACTTTATAGACTTCTCACATCATATACACATACAATATCATTTACATAGTAATAATTAAATAGTCGTCTTTAAATTTAAGATCCATAAACAATTTGTATCTTGTGTATTCCCTTACAATTTTGGAGAATGTTTAAACTCCCTGAGTTCTTATTTGTGTCCTTGAGATTTTTGAAATATCTACCTAGTGCTTAAATGTCTAGATTACCTTATCATATAATGCTAAGTGTAACGGAAGCCTTCATTTATGGTTGCTTAATATTCTAGACGTACTCTACGTCCTGATAAGAATACATCGTCATATCTTTAACAACGGGTCGTCCAAATATTAGCAGCAGGATGCTTTTGACAGGCGTACTTAAAGGAAATTGAAAGGAAAAAAACCGCAGTTTCACAAAGCGTGTTGCATGGATATGTTTTTATTATTTTTCGTTTTACTTGTTACGTGCAAAGCCGCCCCGCTCACAGATGGTGATAATGGTAAGACACTGCAGTATTTCAGCGTTGGGTATTTTCCTAATAATTTACCCTACATTCTTACATCGGCCCTGATAGACGCGTAAAAGTTAAAAAAAGATATTTTTACGGTTTTAACCAAACTTTAGCCTTTTCTACCTAATCATGCTAGAGTACCTATAGTACTCTAGCGTGATTTATATTAATTATATCCTATAATATTAAGTAATTATAGTAATAACGCAAAAGCTAACTTGGATTTTATTTAATCAAAGCTTTTGTGTTCCCTTCAACAAACAAAACTTCCTTAAACATATTTTACTACAATTTACTATTTTTTATGCAGAAACGGAATTCGGTAATCATTTCGAAGGTGATATGGTACTCAGTGCGTCTCAAATGCGGGCAATAAACACCGCGCAAGATCAACGAAACGGCTTATTCGATGGCGCCAAGCGCTGGCCAAATCAAACAGTTGTTTATTACATTGATAAAGATGATTTTGGTCTGTATATATTTATTATAAATCAGATGTATTAAGATTATAACTAGCAAATTTATAGCAATTTGAATACCACAGATACTAAACACTGAGTAGCTGTTCATTTATTTTATTTGTACCTAAAGGTTTACAAAGAGTTATGAACGTAAAAGTTTCTTTTAAGGCAAGTCAAGTTGATCGAACTTCTTCGGATGCACTAAATTGAAGTCCTTAGAGTTGCTACAGATTTAAAAAAGTGCGTGCGTACAAAGTACATATGTCAGAAGTGATACTTCTTTGGCAAACTAATTTTTAAGTCTTTTTCATATTCATATAAATGTAATCTAATTTATACAATCTAAAACTAACTAAGTTAAATTTGAAAGTTTTAAACTATATCTTTCTCACTATAGCTCGCTCCATGGCACTGTGCGTGATGAGACGTGCGCTCTATCTCACTCTCTCCCTCGATCTTTCTAACTTGCTTGCTCCCTACTTAACTCTAGCTCCATGGCTACTTGCTTCATGCTACGTTCGTCCTTTCTCACTCTCTCTCAATCGGTCTCAATCGCTCTCTCCCTTTTCTTCGACAAAAACGCTGCACGCTAATATTATTATTATTGTGTTTCATCCGTAAAAATGTTACCCTCATGCGTCTAAAGAAGTTAACTCAAAATATGAACTTCAACAAAAATCTCTTTTATTTTCGTAGATGAAAATCAAATAAAAATGATCGAGGAGGGCATGGCCGATATAGCTAATAAGAGTTGCATAAAATTCAGACCACGTGCATCTGAAGAACATGCATTGAAAATTCAGGTATTTACATAAATATATAATACACAATAAAGGATACGTAGTATAATAAAATATTATATACTATCACTTGCCTAACCTTTTTTTTATGAAGGAGGTAAAAATGCACAAATGCAGGCCCGCGAGCGTATGCAGTCGCTATCGCGGGGCTGTGGGGATGGTTATCTCTTAGTCCCTGTGCTAACCAGAGGGGAGAAACGGACCCACTTAAATTTCCTCCTGAACCCTCCATACCGCCTGGAGCACCCCGGGGGTCGCACAAGGCATTCAACCCAGGGAACTCAGGCGGCTATGTCAGCATAAGGGCTCAGCGACGACGCAGTGCAGCAGAACGCGCTCACAAAAGAAAGCCACCGCTCGCCAATCACTAGCCTAACCTAGCCTAGCCTAACAACCTAACCTAACCTTCCATCTGAGGCTTCACTCGTAATAATACTAAAGTCAGTGAATGCTAATAGACACGTCTATGCTATAATAGATTTCGGAAAACAAAAGTAATATTACTCGTATTTAACTGTGTGAAAACAGTTAACACATATGAAATTAATAGATTTACTTGATTATCAAAAAGCTCGTTTTGTTGATGAAGTTAACATGAATCATATGTAAAACATATCTCGGCTAGCGGATATTACAAATGAAAACAGGCTTTTTATTCAAAATCCTGCCCAACGAAAGTAACCAAACTACTTGTGATCGTAAAAGTTTTAGTTTCTCTTTTTGGATATCTGCAGACCTTTCTTAAATATATCGTCACTAGGTAACTGTAAGTGGTATAAAAATAGACTAAATCGTAGATTTTCTTCGTAAGTCGCAAATAAAAATGCCTACCAGCAGGGCTATTCAGAATTTTGCAACCCTTTCCGATGTTGAAAATTCAGGATTCTGCACTAAAGCGATTTTATGATATTATAAATGCTTGTAGTTAAAGATATAATTGTAAGGGGTTTCCGATTACTACAGAAACTCTAAATTTACAACAACACAGATTTCGAAAACGATGGACGATTCTAGCTAGTGTGCTAGGTACAAGATTCCGCGATATATTTTCCGTCGGAAACGAATTGCGAATAAAAATATATTTATATAATATTAATTAATAATTTGTTTGCATATTTTGTTTCAGACAATTTATTTATATTATTTGAATAATTGGTAGGCAATGAATAGAATTAGGTTTTTAAACTTAAATGCTGATGACTTTTCAGGGAATAATTCTATCTAAACCAACAAGAACAACACTTTCTACGCATTTTAACCATATAATAACTCTTAAGTGTGTTGGTTTGCCGACTTTGATCAAATCAAGCAGGGAAAGTCAGGACAATCTTTTGAAGAGTGAGCAGCTTTGTATAGGAATATAATAGAAATAAATTGCAATGATTATATGTTGAAGTAACAAAGTATGTTATGATAAGTGCTAAGTTGTCGTAGTAAATTTCGACGCCTGTAAAACACTCTTAGTCTTTTTTTTGACAGCGTATTCATCTATATACATGTGTCTTATAGCCTGAATCAGTTTCAATTATTTTTAATAATTTTGATATATTAATTTTTGTACATAATAATAATAATCAAAATTCTGAATAGCCCTGCAGGTCCGTTAAACGGTTTATGCGTGACTATGTAATAGGAATTAAACACCACCCTCCAACCCCCCACCCCATCTCGTATCTGTCAAATTGTGTTTACACGACATATTATGATAGGTATTTAATTTTAGGGTTCAGCAAATGGGTGCTATTCTAATGTAGGTTATAATACTGAAGACGACGAAGACGATGAACCGAATCAGGTCTTGAATCTGTCTAAAAGATGCTTCAAGCACGGCACTGTGGTACATGAAATGCTACACACAATTGGTTTTTATCACATGCAGAGTACATATGATAGGGACAATTACGTGGAAATTGTGTGGGAAAATATTAAGTCAGGTCAGTAACTACTAATAACTTTCGTCGGGTAACGAACTCATGATACGGCTGACATTGAACAAGATAGAATCTGTGTGTGAGTGTCTTTATATTAATTAATAAATATTCTAGGACACGAGCACAATTTTGCCAAATATAATAATGACACTGTAACAGATTTCGGCGTTCCTTACGACTATAACAGCGTCATGCATTATCCAGAAGTGGCATTCTCTAAAAATGGAAATAAAACTATTATCCCATTACAGGTAATATGACGAATATTTTTATTAAGTTATTATTATGAATAACCTGGTTGTGCACTAAATTTGTTAACCACTAAGCCACGGAGGTGGTAATATGCAATATTCCTATAACTTAATCTAATTTAATGCACTCAACTTTTTCGTCATAAGACGAAAAAAACATAAATAATTATGTGATATAAATTACTTTAGCGTTACCTTAAGTGAAACTATTATGCATAGCAGGTTTCTTTATATTTTTAGGAAAATGTAAAGATCGGACAAAGGCTGGGCATGTCGGAAAGTGATGTAGTGAAGCTCAACAAAATGTACTGCGATAATGATGAGGGAAGTGATATGTAAATAGATAATGCACATTTGAATATTTATTATTTTTAAAACGTGTTTAAATTACAAAATAAAGTTCTTTGACAGATTTATTGTTTGAAATAAGATGCGACTGATTTCAGGACTCACTATCTTACTAGAAGATAGATATGGGGAGTTGTGTCACATTATCTACCTTATTAATTGCTTGGCTATTGACTCTTTGGAGATCACAAATATCTCTTTCCTCACACAACAATACACCTTAGTTTTGCAACATTCGTTGCATTAGTGTAAGCTTACATTTTTTATACAAATCACTCGTTTAATTTGCCAATTTAGGGTGAAAGCGTGACCACTGCCGATAAATATTGCTACAACTTGCTCTTATTGCTCGCTAATAATGATACACTACACTCAGTGTACGTACCGACTAAATCCTAGATATCTTGGTTATCATTTAAAACTTTTCTGTCTTCAAAATATATGTAAAGCATATCTGGTATTATTATATAATGAGGTATCCCTGGTAGGTAGGGTTTAAAAAAGCTTAAACCTGCTAGAACTTTACCCCAGTTTACTCATCTTTACAAGTATGTATTATGACAAATATAGGAATTTTAATGTTGGCTATTTGTTACCGTTGTACATTAATTAAAAAATTAAACAAGATAAATAAAATTTGACTTTATCAAGGTCGTATCTGGCGTAAGTCGTGCAAAAAATTTGGCAATTAATTCTTGCATGGAGCGTATTCCGTTTCTGTGACGGCACGAGTACTGTCGCAAGGCAGTAGCGCGCTTACACCTTGTGAAATGGTTGTCTATAAAGCTATATTAATACCAGACCCGCCTCGATGGGTTTTGTTGGCAAAAAATTCTTCGTACTGTGCATTTTTTGCCAAATATTCACGTACCGTTAATATGACACAATTTAATGAAACGATCTAATACACATGAATTTTCTAACTTTATAAGACAATGAAGTTGATATATTTTGTGACTTTCTTGTGTTTTTTTATTGTGAAGTGTGGATCTATGTCACAAAGTGAAATAGAAGATTTTGCGAATTTCATACAGGAAACATCTCACTTGGATCAAAATCTAAAAAGTAAGTTGGTTCTTATCGTATTTAAAGATATGCACACATTTAAAAACTTTCTCTTTGTTGTAAAACCTGTCCTTATATCGTGAATATCTATTTTATAAAATAACCATCGAAACATATCAAACCTTTTTATTTATGTATTGAATTTGTTGTAATTCATAGAATTATCTATATTACTTTTTTAATAACAATTCTATCTGAAAAAATAAAACACTTAAAATTATGTTTTCAAGGTAAGGATCCCGAAGCAGACTATGATGAAGATGAACCAGTTGACAATGCTTGGGAGGAAAGTGGGAAATTCGAAGGAGATTTAATTTTAAACGATCGGCAGCGTCGGATGATTGTCACCAATGTTGTAGAGGGACTTGCTCGTAATGGACTAACTGATAGCACAAAACGCTGGCCAAACAATGAAGTTGTTTATTTCATACAGCGAGAACACTTTAGTAAGTATTTATCTCTCCAATATAGAATTACAGTTAGATTAGTAAATATTAACATACTTAGTACTTCAAGCTTCGACATGTTTAAAAACATATAAAAGTATGTATTACTGTATAATTATTTGAACTCTTGAATGAGGTGAAAAAAACTGCGTTATTAACAAGCTTACGACGGGTTTATTAAAGTACTTTACATTCGCTAATAATTATAAACTTACTATTAATGCAGCCTAACTGTCATACTTACCTACTTATTATTTAACCTAGGTGTTCCATTTTTAATTTCAGATCTTGATCAAGTCCAAGCCATTCAAGATGGGCTAGACGACTTAGCTCGCGCTTCCTGTATAAAATTCATACCATACAAAAAAGGCGATCGTGATGCGGTGGTTATACAGGTAAACAATATCTACCATAATTTTATGGTCTGATAAATTTATGTTATTACCATATCAAAGCGTAACATTTTTAGCAAACGAATGTTACAATATATATTAAATGTTAACACGAAGATTTCCTAGTGTTTTTGAAGTAATAGCTGGTTGATTTTACCGATTGTACCTTTACAGGGAAGTAGGCGCGGGTGCTTCTCTCAAGTGGGTTACCAGGGCGGCTACCAAGTTCTCAACTTATCTGGCCGTCACCCAGTTGGGCGTGGCTGTTTCCGCCATGGAACTGTTGTTCACGAACTTCTACATACTCTCGGATTTTACCACATGCAGAGTAGTCCCGATCGAGACGACTATATCGATGTGCATTGGGAAAATATAATACAAGGTAAAAACTATTGTCATTTCACAATAGCTCTGTTTTAAGATTATACAGGTGTTATAACGGATCGAATGTTAATGTTACTAGCTTGATGCAGGTTACCGTGCCATTGACATGCTGTGTATACCTAAATTAATGTTTAGAATATTAATGCACTCCTAGTTCCTGTTTATGTCGGTTAGTTGCAAGGAATTTATTTACGTTATGTGTACGCGCCTATATAACTTTTTATTTTCTTACTGTTCTTTAGAGATATTAATATACTTACGCTAGGCTAGTATTCCACGTTATATACTAAAAACCCGTGTTTTTTTTAATTAAATGACTTATGTGTAACTGCGGTACTATTGTATGTATTATTGTGTTTGATATAAGTTATTTAGGCTAAGTGAGCTCAGTTCGATTGAAGGGTACATTATATGTTTCAAGTCTTTATTTGGACCGTGCAAAAGGCTGACTAATAGACACGGAGGAAAATAAAGTATTTTTTGATAACAGTATAGACGACAATATTATTTCATGGTTATTTCCCGAGTGCAATATTTTTATTTATTATGTGTGTTTAAACATTAATCATATGATATATTTGTGTAATATATTATTCATTATGGAAATAAAGAGGCTATAATATTTAAAAAAATGTGTGTTTCAGCTGCTCGACACAATTTCCGCAAATACAACACGTTTTCCGTGTCCGATTTTGGAGTCGGCTACGACTACGAGAGTGTACTGCATTACGGTCAAAAAGCGTTCTCTGTCAATGGACAAGACACTCTAGTGCCAAAACAGGTAAAGATGATTAAAAGGTCTCTGTAGGAAAAACATACTTAGAACATTAGAGTGTTCCACCGATTCTTTTGTTGTGTTGAGTTAAAAAAAATTCAGTAAACAAGTATTTTTTTTATAAAAGCGAAAGGTATTTTCCGAGTAGAGGGGGCACCTACGCTATTTTAATGAATTTAACCCTGCGAATCTCGTACCGCTTCAGCATTAAAACTAAATTTCTGTTCCATTTGAATAAAATCGTTAAAATTGCCACACGAACCTTCTATTTTATATCGTATACATTTCGAAATTAAAATTTCAACCGAAATTTTTTATTTCAGCTGGGAGCGAATATCGGACAAAGAGTTGGTTTATCACAAAAAGATGTTCAAAAATTGAACAAAATGTATTGTGACGCAGACTCCGACCTGCAATTAGACGACTCATCAAAGTCTCCTGTGCTTAAAAAGAAATCTAGAAAAAATAAACCCTTTCAGGGTCGCGGAATAGGATATCATCAAGGTAAAACCGTGGTGATAAATCTAGCTGATGCACAAACATATAATTTGAATGATATTGATAAGCTTAATGATTTTAGCGGAACCAAAGAAACCAGTATGCCTTCAATGTCTGTTCAAGGATTTGGAGTTACTCAAGAGATAAATGATTTTCCTATATCCGAAAGTTTGCTAAATAAAATGAAAGATGAAAGCAAAGATCTGCAAGCATTGTTATATAGATTTTCGAATGTAGTCAATAGCAAGATAAACCCGTCAGATGCCAGAAAATTTGACTATGAACATTCCAATGAATATAACACTCCAATGACAGAACTAATGCAACCTAAACCAAATTTAAACCACATTCAGAATAGTGAGTGGTACAGAGAACCTGTTCATAGACCCCAAGATGATCAAGAAATATTAGCACTAAGGAACAAAGAAAATATGTATGACCATTCAGACAGTGGCCGTTATCACACTGATGATAATGAACGAGAAATCATCGGATACAATAAAAACATTGCGTATCATACTAATAATCAAGATTATTCACCAATCAAGGAAAACAGAATAAATAACTATAGTAGATTACGCACTTATAAGGAAGATGCACCATATAATCATGACAATTTATATGAAGCTCCACCTCAAATTTATCGAGAATCTGGAAAGTTGATAAGTACAAAATCATTTTTAAACGCACCAGAATATCTTCAAACTATACCAAATAAAAGTCAGCGTCAAACGCAACATCAATTTCATGGCACTTATTTAAACAATAGATAGTTATTTTAAAAAGGTACTACACACTTTTTTTTTAAATTGTAATGATAGTAATTATAACACAATTCTGTACGAAATAAAATATTTTTAACATTGTTTTGTTCTATATTCCTTATTTTATCCTATTCTTTTTTTTTATGGCTCTGGCACGATTTGTGTATTACCCAGCGTCAAGTATAGGATTTTTTATAATTCGTGCTTGTCTTTAGAAATTCGACCGTGTCCTCCATGTACGGTTTAAGGCACTTGCCCGGTACCGCACAACCCTCCCAAAGGCCGAGAACAAATTTATTAATATTATAATTAAATTAAAACTTGCCCTCGAACCGGGAATCAAACCCGGTACCCCTCACCTAGCTGCCACTTAATAAGACCGCTAGGCTATGAGGCCACCTCCGTGTTTCTATTAGCGGGATTAAGCAACAACATAGATAACAATAAACAATATAGATAAAACTAACCTATGATTGGCTGACTGGTTTTATGGCAAATTGGTTTTGTTCCCTATCATAGTGATAAATAATTAAGGTATTAAATGTGATGATCGACAAGGGATGATACTATCTCGTATGAAAACTACTTCTAACCTACGCAAAATTTAAACATGCAAACAGGTCTCATTTTTAGGATCAATTATTTATTTCCTTAATTTTTTTAAACATTCAGCATTCATTCAGGACGTTAGAAATTAATGGTCTAAAATATTTATGCTATTAGCGCGATTCCTATGCTTTTTTTATACTAGAACACAACTGACAACCGTTAGTCGTTACTAAACAGTTTACAAACACTGCTCTAAGTCATGTGTAATGACTAATGTGTTACTACGTATTTAGTGCTGGGGCTGGGGCTGTATGTAGAGGAGAGCTAGTAATAATGTGCCTATCAGGGGCCTTAGTCAAGATGCCTTAACAGTAGTGTATGTAGAAAGTCGAAAACTAAATTTGTATGGAAATGATAGTTCGTGTCGAAAAGTTTTCATACAAATTTAGTTCAAAGCCCAGCTGTGCGACCCCATGAATTCAATGATCTAAACTTCACAGTTTCATCTCTACTTGATCTGTGCTTTTGTGATCCATTCAGCGTTGCCAACTCTACCAACTTTTAGGTAGATCTACCAACTTTTTAGGTTGATCTAGCAAGTTGTAGGTAGATCTACCAACTTTTAGGATTTTTCTCAAATCTACTTTACCTTATAAAGAAAATCCACCAACTTTTTGTTTATAAAATTTTTTAATTTAATTTTTATATTGTTTAATTTTCTTTTATGCACACAATAAGTTAAAAACAGCGCGCTTTTGCGTTCTTCGATATCGATATACATCAGCCAATAAGAAACCTCGGCTTATTTATTGCGAGTTTTGACTAATGACTAACTTCAAGACTCTCATGAACTTACTATGTATTTTGATATGTAAAGCGCAGCCTTGAATATTGTTAAATAAAGTATTTTATTACTATTGGTCTATCTAAACATTAAAAAATAAAATGATTAGTAATGAAAGTGAAAATGAAGAAAATTCTCCTCCACGAAAATTGAGGAAAATTCATTATGATCAAAAATATTCAAAATTCTGGGAAAATGAACCAGAATATGCAGGTTGGATTAAGCATTTCAGTTTCCGGCCCCCATTGTCACGTAAATTATGTTGGATGATCTCTACAATCCATAACATGCTTTGATTTTTTTATGAATATTGTCCATTTTTGAAGTTATACTTCTTTAGGCGCGTTATGAAAAATTGATGAGAGTGATATTTTACGATGCGCGCGCACCGTGACACAAAATTAACAGAATGAAGTTCCCCACGGAAGATGCTACGGCATTGGACATAATTTAAAAACAACATTCGAATAATAATAGAATTTATGTTACACTTAATGTAAGAGAATAATAATAAATATTTATTTATTTAATTTTTCAAATGTAAGCTGAACTTTATTGACTATAATGACTCCTTTTCCAGTCTTTGATTATTTAATTGTAATTAATTATTTGCATGCGATCATAAACTATTTTTAATAATGCCAAAGAAGTATAACTTCTTACGCGCGTACATAAGTACACGCACCCTTGTTTAGTTAATATTTATTTTTTTTACTATAATACTATTTCAATTTAATACTATTCCTTTTTTACAAAAAAAAAAAATTATCACATCTAAAGTGCCCTGTAAACGATCAAATTGTTTGTCAAATTTTACGTGTTTGTCAAATTATTTGATAGTGTACTGGCTGTGTTTGAGGCGTTTGTCAAACAATCTACGTGTTTGTCGTGTTTGATGAAAATCTGGATTGATGTCGAGTTTAAAACAAGATCTCACTCGTTGTATTGACATCATGGAGGACGCTACGCTCCAGCCTTGCGATTCTGTAACTCACTTTTCGAACTCACACAGCGGTTTTTTAAACAATAAACTACAAGCTCCCACCTTTTCAGAATGCCAAATCATAAAATGACTGCTTCACGGCTGATTTGAGAGCGACCGCCGATGCGAAAACCGCTGTGTGAGTTCGAAAAGTGAGTTACAGAATCGCAGGGCTGGTGACAATATGAGTGTCAATATTACTAACAAAGAATTTATGTTGCATTTCATATCTGTTTATCCTGTTTTTTTTATCTTTTTAGTAAACCTATGTTATTTTGTATATCTTTTAGCAAGAAATAAAAGGCTTTTTATTTTATTTTATTTTATTTATTAAATAAAACCTTACCTGAATATTGTTGAATAGTGTTTCATTTATTGCTTCACAAGTTTCAATGGTAATGTTGCTCAATGTTCGAGGTGCAACGCAGGCTTGAAATTTTAAGTCTTCGAAATCATCGCCGCTAGCCAGGTACCTCAAAGTTATTGATAACCTTTGAGAAGCTGGTATAGATTTCCGCATAACTGTGTCCTTTTTTTCAATACGAGGATGGAGTATAGTCAGTAAATCTTCAAAAGTTTTAAGGTCCATGCGCAAGAAGTTTGCGTAGTCTTCAGGTTCAGTGCGCAATATTTCCCGTAGCAAATTCTCGTGGGTATATTTATCTCTTAATTTCAACCATTCTCGTTAAATTCTCGTTAGTTTTGTTTTTGGTTTGATCGTTTAAGCTATTGTTTGATGAAAACGTGAAGTTTGACAAACAAATTTGACAAACAATTTGATCGTTTACAGGGCACTTTAGGGTAGGATTTTATATAAAACTCGAAATTATAGTTGGTATAGGTCTACCAGGATCTGATGGCAAAAAGGGAAAAAAGAAATTGACGCTAGCAATACTGGGGAAATTGGCGTAAAACGTTTTGATACTTTTTTCCTTATAGCGGCTGATTGTGTGTGATATATGCAAATATAAAAATTTATCCAATGATCAAATATCATTTTTGAAAATGTGGCGAATGTGGGGTTCGAAATTTAGATGAAAACTCCAATTACTTTGTTCATGAGTTTATTTATTAATTAAGAACTTGAAAATTGTTCCAAATACTGCACATCCATAAAAAAGTCTTCAACGCAGTATTTATGAAAAACCTTTACTCCTGCATCTCAATTAACCGATCTTGTTCTATGAACTGATTTTCAATTTTTATTACATGTTCACAAGATTTTCGCCATTCATCGATCCCTATTTGAGAGAAAGAAACAGTGTAAAACTCATTTATCTTGTTTCTGATCAATTCTAAATAAAAACTATCCAAGTTTATTTGTAGTATAAGAAACCCCTGAAATAAACCAAAGTTTAGTATAAGTACATAAACACGAAAAATCTCATAAACCAAAATATCAAGACGTGCCATTCCTACTAACCAGTCAACGCTTGCACATGGCTCAATATCGATGATTGTGTATGTTTTGCATCTTGTTGATCAAGTATTCTTTGATAAACATTGAAAACAATATGTCTTGCTTGCGATCGAAGAGGTTTCTTCGACATTTTCATCACTTTTTAAAGGAAATTTGAAGCCAAACCAAAAACAATTCCTCGAAATTTCAGTTGACAGATGAAATTTTTCTTTTATTGCCATATGAAAATCGCTAATTTTTAAACTTTTTTTTTTGCCATCAGATTCTGGTAGACCTATATATCTACCTACTTTTCAAATTGAAGATGGTTGGAAACTAGAGTCTGGCTAACGAAAGTAGATACTGGATTTTTTTGCAAACTTTTTATATGACAACACTAAAGTTAATACGGTCAAAATGTCTTGATATTTTTTTTATTTTAAATAAGTACATATTAGTTTTAGTTACTTTAGATAATGTTATTGTTCTTTTACAGATAGTCTTGAGATTATTAGCCAACGGTTATGAATTTAAGAAAAACAAAAATGAACGTTCATTATTAATTGAACGGTATGATATAGTTCCATAGAGACATCGCTATTTGCGTACCATTGCATCGAAACGTGCAGAAGGCAAGCCAATAATCTACTTAGATGAAACTTATGTCCACAAAACCTATAAGCCTAAAAATTGCAAGCATCCACTAGTAAAATAAAAATAAATGTCAAAGTATCAAAGTGAGTTGTTCCAACTTTCCTTTTTATCAACTTTAATTAGCCAGACTCTACCAACTTTTGAAATTGTATCTACCTACTCGATAAAATTCGAGTTGGGAACACTGGATCCATTTGTATTTTGTGTTTGTACTTTGTCATTTATTCAGTGTTATATTTCTATGAACGGTGTAGTGTCATCATTTTATTACTTTGTGAAAAAAATATTATTAAAATATGTAATTAAATAATTACAGTCATCTATTTTAGTACTAGAATTCAGGCAATAACTTAGTAACGTCGCAAGTGAACTATGAAACTATACAATGATTGTTATTATATGACTCAGTTTGTACATTGTATCTTCTTTAATTTTATTTAATGGGTTGTGCTGCGTCGGGCGTAAACCGAACAATAATGATGTTTAATAGACACGCTCATAATTCGCCGGAATATCGTGCAATACTAGACCGAAAGCTCTATATAGCAAGAGAATCACCTGAACCGGAGTTTGATCTATCAGGTTGCAATTTGAGACAATTGCCTTCAGGAATATTTTCAATATGTAAGGTTTTTCGTAAAGATTACTTATATTTACAAAATAACAAGCTAAAAACATTAGAAGAAGGTGGTCAATTAGCTGATCTTCAGCTGGTCAAAACATTAAACATTAGCAAAAATAATTTCACACAAATACCTAAGAGTATTAGGTTTCTCCTAAGTCTCACAGAACTTTACTTACAAGAAAACCAAATTACCTACTTGCCAGATGAAATAAAGTTTCTGCAAACCCTCAAAATACTAGACGTCTCCAGAAACAATTTAAAAAAATTAAATCCAGTTTTGGGGCAACTAAAAAGCTTACGTAAACTTATTATTATAGGTAACAAAGACTTGACTGAAATTTGTAAAGAACTATGTCTTGCTTCAAACTTATGCTCAATTGAATTGGATTGTGAACAATTTTATATACCACCCCCTGAAGTTACTATAATGGGTACTGAAGCAATAATGAAATTTCTTTGTTTTCAAGCAAATATTACATATACCCCACCCGTGCCAGATAGTGATAATATATTACCAGCTTATGGTGGTAATCAGGCCGTCGACCTCTTTACCAAACCCAAAATTACATGGGAAGAAGCAGAACAAGCTGTTCAGCAAAAGGAAGACCAAATATATAAAGCAAACCAAGTACAGAGAGAAAAAATGTTGTCAAATGTTTTAAAAGAACAACTTAGCTTAGATATAGAAATATCTAAAATACATGAAGGAAGGGAACTAGAAAGACAGATGTTAATAAATACTATACAAAAGGAAGAACAAAATATTGAATGTTTAATTAATAACTTCATAGGATATGATAAACTAAAGCCTGAAATAATTCAACAACAACTAGCACATGAGCAGTTAGAGCATGACCATTTGTTAGAAATTACTAGACAAAACTATGATAACATTAAAAGAAGTGATATTTTAAAAACAATGCAACAACTGTTAGAAGAAAACTGCTCAGTAGGAAATTATATGAAATATTATAAAGATAATTTAAATGATGTTAAAAAGAACTTGTTGATCCAAGAAACTGAGGTGGATGGAAAATTGGAACAATTACTAAATGCAAAAGATCAGCTTAGAGAAGGACAAGTACAACTACTTTTAGAGGATCAAGATGTACAGAAAGCAATGGTATCTTCATTATTGGACCAAGTTGATGCTAGAAGCTGGAGTTTGAATCAGGAGATATCTTTAGTTTCATCACATTTAGCTAAATTAAGTGTTATTGAACAGGAAAAGAGAAAAATTAACATTGTTGATAATTATAATGAGCTGCTTGAACAGCGAATACATTTAGTTACTTTACTGGATGACCTTTTTATTCAGAAAAATAAAAGAAGGAAGCAATTAATTGATACTTTGCATGAAGCAGAAAATGAAAGCAATAATAAGACAGATTTTTGGTTGCAGAGCTATAAAAAGTTGTTAGATTGCGCACCTCCATCTCTACTAAGCATTGGAAAATCTTTGGATCCACTTCTTGTAAATTATCTATTACAAGAAGGTGTCATACACTGTTTACCATTTTTGGTAAATATTTTGTTTTCCGATACATCCTTATTGAATATCACTGCCCAAGACTTAAAACTGTCAGGAGTATCCTTGAAAATAGACCAAGAAAATATTATAAAGGCAATTAACAAATATGTTGTTAGTAAAAATGGAAATGAGTTTACATCTTTGAACACAAGTGCACCACCATTGCCTTCTGAAGATTCCGAAATTGGAGTCTTAAGTCAGATAGAAAATAATATGTCTGTGGATGGCGAGTGTGTAATATGTATGGAATGTAAGTCTCAGGTAGTGTTTGTGCCTTGTGGTCACATGTGTTGTTGTCAAAGTTGTTCCCAGAAAGATATCACCAGTTGTCCAATGTGTAGATCAAATATAGAAAGAATTATAAAAGTATTGATAGCATAGTTTGAAGTCACTATATTGGTTGTGAAATTTATAACAACAAGACATGATAAGGGATGATAATTGCACAAAAGGCCTTATTTTATACAAAATACGAAAAGATTCATGACATCATGTAGTAGAATATACATTACAGTGACACCGTTATGGCTGTGAACAAGATTATAGTCACTTAGTTTTTATTTTTGGGCAAGGGGTATACATGTAATTGTATTCATATAACTTGCTATAAATTCCCTTTTTATCCTTTATATAACATATATTATGTCAATTATTAATTATTGTATTATAATACAGAGTAATTTTTAGTTGATTGTACATGTTTTCAAATTTAAATAGCATAAGATAAACAACAACTTTTTTACACATAACTATTTTGTTACAATACAGGTATTGTTTAGTGTGTTTACAGACTACACATTTTGCTATATTTCCTCTCACTAAAAACAATCTTTGCCTATAAAAATCTTTTTAAGGACTTATAATATTGGAAACTTTAACACAATTTATATTAAAATAATTGTAGGTTTAAGCTGGGGAAATAGCTTAAAAAAGAATAATAAAAAGAAAAAGTAATTGTGAATAATTTCTTCCTTTTCTATTATGTAGATGACAATGATGTTGATTTTGCAATGGTAAAATACTAAATGTAATTATAATTTAATTAATTTTTCAGATTTAGATGTGTGATTTAATATAGATGTTTTTTATTGTAAACCACTGTGATTTATTTATTTTAATTTTAGGTTTTTTTATGTTGTTTAAGTAAGAAATTATTAAACTAATATGTTATAATTCAGAATAAATAGTTATCTTTTAATCTTTCGCTCTTTTGTACGACAGACTAGCAATAAGCAGGCAAAATGTAATATTATGTATATGTATTTCACACTATAGGTAACTATAATAATTATGTTATATGACTAACAAATATTGAAACACCTACTGTCTTTGTGACATTATCAATTATTGTATTGTATTGTTGACGTTTTGCTATATGCACCATTAAATACACAATAAACTGTTATTACAAATAAATAGTAAAATTTTAATTTTAAAATAGAAATAATTTATCTCTCTTAATCTCATAAAACATTTGTAACCTTATTTAAAATTTATGCATAACCAGTGGCATACTAGCATTAAGGTCTGAGCCTCAGATTTCTGTATCTGTTTCGTGATCATTTGTTTTCCTATAGTATAGGTAATTCACCTTCTGTGACCAACACACGCCGACGGTTATTTGTTGATATGATCGATTTTCCTTCACCGTATGAGTGAGGGTTAGATGCGCACATAGACAGTAAGTCCTTTGGCTGGGACAACCGGTTTCGAGCCTACAATCTCAGGGATGAGAGTCGCACGCACAAGCCGGGGCTAGGCCAACACTGCTCTTTATTTCTTAAGAGAAGTTAAATTGTTCTGATTTCTGCATAATGAAAACTTTGTTTCCCTAAGAAAATCATTTCATATTATTGTCCTCAGTCATATTTTACTCGCTATTTACATTCCAGAATCCTAAACATATCACATAATCACTAACCACTAATCTTTTTTAAAAAAAATTTATTTAATAGGAGGCAAACGGGCAGGAGGCTCACCTGATGTTAAGTGATACCGCCGCTCCTGGACACTCACACTGTCTGAAGGCTCGCAAGTGCATTGCCGGCCTTTCAAGAATTGATACGCCCTTTTTACTTGAAGGACCCTAAGTCGAATTGGTTCGGAAATACTTTAGTGGGCAGCTGGTTCCACATAGTGGTGGTGCGCGGCAAAAACTGCCTTAGAAAACGCTCATTTGGGGAACGACGGACGTCGAGGTGATAGTAGATAGAGGAGGTCCAGATTCATGCCGTCTAGTTGAGGCCACAAGAAGTCCGTTATCATATTCCTGTAACGAATGCCGTTCACAGTCACTGCGATTTCGGCCTCTTTTTCAAAAAAGTAAGGTTCAATCACGCCGCCTGACCACAATCCGCACAGCACGTTTCTCATGGATGATGGATTGCATTGAGTACCAAATTCGACAATTTTGTGTATTGACGAAGCCATTCATATGGAAATGCGATTCATCGAAGAATGTTTTTTTTTTGAAATTGTTGAGAACGATGTCGAATTGATGTTTTCGGGTTTTCGACGACACTCGTTTACAGCAGTAATGTTTTCAAGAAACCGACCGGTACGTTGACGCAACAGATTCTTATTACCCATAATTGACCCAGATTCTTCAAATTTTTTGACCACTTCGAATGGTTGTCACATAAGGTGCATTTTGGCAAAGTTTGCGAGCGGTTTCAGCGTAACTTTCCCTATTTTTGTAATGAGTTTTCACAATTATAACGCGTTGTTATAACGAAAAGCGATTTTTTGAAGTGAAAACTTCTTTAGCGGCGTTGTACACTTTTTTTTAAAATGGGTAAAAAATGTTAAACTCGCGTCAGGACAAATTCGTAAGACAGATGTTTTTTTAAGGGATTATAAACCTTCGTGCTATATGGTTACGGTTTTAATTGATTCGTTATCTTTCCTCAGATACATTGATGCATGTGGAATTGGACCTTATGTCAATACATCAAGGTTTAATTTTGCGAAACGTCTAAAGCTTAAGTATAAACGATTTGGTCAGACTGAGGCGAATAAATGGCAACTTAAAAAAAAGATGAATTTTCCTAATTGAATTATTTAATACTAATTTTAATTATTTTGTGTAGGTTTCGTAAGATGGATGGAGAGTAGACAGCTGGCGCGGCGTACGATAGCGCAATAAATAAATGGGTCATTATAAATTAAGAGGTACTTTCCATGGCCAGGACAAAAAAATAGTTATATACTTAAGAGTTAAGACTAAATGCTTTCTTCAGAAATGTACGTAGTTTAGTCACAATAAGTTATAATATAAGAAAAAAGTCTCTCCCCTGGTCTATCCCCAAACCGACATTATTTGTCTGTATTACTTTATCATCGTTAATTTTATATAGAACAATAACTTAGTCACAGTGTCTTATAAGTAAAATTACTTATATTCCAATTTTTCATAAATGATATCAACGCCGAAATTGGTCCTCCGTGTTTCGTGTCTCGTCGTCCCCTGGCTTTTTGTTTTCGTTTAAAAATCAGTTTTGTTTTGCTAGTTTGTGGAAGTTGTGACCTTGAGTGCATAAGATGTAAAGTGAAGCTAGCAGCAAGCGGCGCATAAGCCGACTGTGCAGCCATTTTAACGGCCATTTCAGTCACGTCGCTCGCTGGGTGTAGATGTGTTAAGTGAATGCATTTTTTCCTCTGGTTAGTTTTATTTAGCAATTATTTGTTAAAATACTAATATAGACTTAAATATTCACTATGAATAGTGCATACATTGTTACGTTTGATTGAAATTGACTGGCCACTTAGTAAATGTTTTCTACTTAAAAGTTTCCATAAAAACGATGTATACTTAAGTAAAAATATAAAAAAAATGCCATGCCGTCACTTCATACAACATTTTATTACCTTTAACTTATAATGACCCAAATATTGTATTCTACCACATAAATGATAGTACTTTCATATTGATAATTAAAGGAATTGCAAAATTATTCCCTAAGCATTCCAAAATATCTTAACATTAATATTCAATTTTTCACTTCTGCCGGCACTCCCGGAGTGCAACCCATCGTTTTTTTATCATTTTTAATAATCGGAATAAACAGAGGTGACAGCTTTCAAATTTCAGAGCTGCCACTTGCATGAAAAAAAATTTCAATTTTAAAAAGTTCACTTACTGAGACACCAATAGAAATATATATACAGGGTGTCCCAAAAGTCGAATCGAATTTAGGGGGTACTTTATTCAAGAAATTTTTTTTCCGCAAACACGATTCTATAAAATTTATATATTTCAACAAACGACACTAAATATAAACTCCAAGCCTGGCTACAGCTTAAATATCGAAAAACTAATTTCATGTGTCAAATTTGTTCCTTCTGACCGTATGATCAAATCATTTAACGTCAATATGTACGATTTCAAAAATATCAGCGACAGCAAAACACATCGCGATATCCAGGTTGATGCCTTCGACGAAATATTAGAAGCCTATCCCAATGACATTTATTAATATTGTATTAGAAGGAAAAAAAGCACATTTAAGCAATTCGTTTTTTATTTTAATTCTGTCTCGTTTAACTGTAACAGAACAGATAAAAAGTAAAAAAAGCTCTAAAAATTAGGTATGAAAAGAAATTGACGAAAACGCAAAAAAAAAGGGTCCGTGTACTTATGTACGCGCGTAAGAAGTTATACTTCTTTGGCAATATTAAAAATAGTTTGGCTTTGTTCCACCTCCAGTTTTTGATGTTTCACAGCGATAAGATGTAACTCTTTTTTGTATTCAATTTAGTGCAGTTACACTGATTCATCAATTGTTTTTTGTCTCTTTTCCTTATATTTGCTAGATAAAATCAGAAAAATTACATGTTTTGATTAAACAATGTGGTTAATTTTTTAATCAAAACATTACTCGATAATAATAATAATACATACGGATAGTTAACCTCAATTGTATTGAAGCACTTAGGAAGGTTGATGAGCACAGTTTTTTCACAAATATTAATTAGTATTGGTTTAAATATTCAATTTAAATCACTTCTGATTATAATTCAAAAAGCATCGCTAAATTTCTTTGAAAAAATAATTAAAACTCCTTTATTTGTTTAAAAGGTAAATGACAAATGTCATTATGGTCATTCAAAATTGTTGGCATACGAACTTCACGCATATTCTATTTCTTTTTACTTGTAGATTGTCTTATTCCTATCTCGCTCGCGCACGCTATAATCACACTCCTAATTTTGTGTCACGGGTGCGCGCGCATTGTAAAATTTCACTCTCATAAATTTTTCATAACGCGCCTAAAGAAGTATAACTTCAAAAATGTCTGCCAAAAAAAGTTAAGAAAAACTGAATTCGAAGAAAGAAAAGTTAAGATATATATAAAAAATAAGAATCGTTTCATCTCATTGTTTTTGTCATTAATACTATTCGGACATTGATTAACATATGTTAATCAATACATATGTTACATATTTATATATATAAATATGTAAAATGTACTCACATAAATAACAACAGTTATTTTTTACTACTTCAACGTATTTTTAATTCATATTGGAAATTACCTCTCAAACCAAGTGTACAACAAAAACTTAAGGGGTTTTTGATCGACATTTAGGGGTATTTGAAGTTAGTCCTGGCCCCTGGGGGGAACATTTTGTAGGAGTTGGCAACCCTGTTTCAATTTTCAGTTATTTAGCTTTTGTGTTATCATTCTAATTTTATCATAGTTTTCTGTTTAATAAAATAATAATGTTACAGATGCTTTACACGGTTTCATAAGTGAACCCCGTTTGCATTTGGATACATTTTATAAGTTCCAATAACTTGTTCTAATTTGTATCAACTAGTATAGAATCTAACCTAATAGGTGAAAATGAGTGAAGGTCCAAAGAAAAAGCGCAAAATCGATGAAGAAAACTCGTCTGAAGTATCAGGTAAATTGAGTAAGAAGTCCCGGATACCTTATGATAAGAATTGCTTTATTTCATAGAAGAAATAACTTTCTAAACTCAACTATAAACATAACCAGATAGGTTAACAGATGACTGAAGATACAAGAATAGTAACTTGTAGATTGTGTTATTTTCTGCATTTTGTTTTGTTTAAAAAAATGATTGTTTAACAAAGATATTAAAATGTATCAAATCTAATTTATGTTCCAGAACCTCCATCTAAAAATACAAAAATTCAGATTCAGTGTCCATACTTGGATACAATTAACCGGCATGTTTTGGATTTTGATTTTGAAAAGCTATGCTCTGTTTCGCTGACAAGAATTAACGTTTATGCTTGTCTTGTTTGTGGAAAGTATTTTCAGGTAAATATTTTTGTAATATTATGTACATATTTAGATTTTGCAATATTATGTATTTAGGTATGACATGGTTCAATGGCCACAAATTTGTTTGACCTAGGTGTTGTATAATTTCTTGGAAACTAATTTATATTTAGGTCTCTTAATAAAGTAATGGTTAAAACAGAGCACCACATGAATGAAACAGGTAGATTTTTGGGTTTAAATTTTTTTTTTGAAAAATTCCTTTTATAGTCTTTAATTTATTGAATCTATCAGTTAGTTGACGACAAAGATTTAAAAAAAAAATCTAAAGAACCCTTTATGAATGTTTAATTGTACTTTTTAGGGTAGAGGTACGAACACTCATGCATACACACACTCAGTTGCAGATGGGCATCATGTGTTCCTAAATTTAAATACTTTGAAATTTTATTGCTTGCCCGATAATTATGAAGTCATAGGTATGTAAATATATTGTTTTGAGAAATATATTGAGACTAAGTTAAGTAGTTTGTGTAAATATAATATAATTATATCAACATAAAAATTTTAAATACTTAAAAAAGTTACATATTAAAGGGAACTTTTGGAAACAATAATCAATAGTTTCTTTTTTATACTTTTAAAAATTTCTGAAGAAATGATAAAGAATTTTTCATTTAATAAGTTAAAACTTTTTCAGATTCATCACTTAATGACATAAAATATGTGCTCAATCCCATATTTACAATGGAGCAAATAAAACAACTTGATTATAATACTAAGATGTCTCGAGCAATTGACGGCTCAATGTACATGCCTGGGATTGTTGGTCTTAATAATATTAAAGCCAATGATTATTGTAATGTTATATTACAGGTTTGAATATATTTAAAAAATTGTTTACTATTACAAAATCAATGTGGTAGTTTTTTTTATTTATTTTTTTATGGCTCTGGCACAATTTGTGCATTAGCCAGCGTCAAGTATAGGATTTTTTATAATTCGTGCTTGTCTTTTAGAAATTCGACAGTGTCTTCTATGTACGGTTTAAGCACTCGCCCGGTACCGCACAACCCTCCCAAAGGCCGAGAACAAAAATGTGGTAGTTTCAAATATATCTTGCAAAAAACTAATTCTAAATTTAAAATGTTCATTTTAGTGTCTAGCTCAAGTTCGGCCATTAAGAAATTACTTTCTACGTGAGGAGAATTATGCTAACATCAAACGGCCACCTGGAGACTCCTCATTTTTACTCGTGCAGCGGTTTGGGGAGTTATTAAGGAAATTATGGAACCCCCGAGCATTCAAAGCTCATGTATCACCTCATGAAATGTTGCAAGCTGTAGTTTTATGGTCAAAGAAGCGGTTTCAGTTTATTAAACAAAGTAAGTTTTTGCTACATTGATTGATTTCATAAATTGTGCATGTTTTTTATGTAATATTGTATACTAATTTCAATTTTACACCTGTTGTCAGAGTCATTAATTAACAGTTAACAGTTACTCATGCTCTTTAGTACAGATTTAAATAAGTTCACCAAATTAGGAATATAAAATGTTTATTTTATTACAAATGGTTTTTCTATATTTCATTCAATTTAACAAAAAGTTCTAAGCTAAGTATTTATCAATTTTAATAAAAGATACATTTCATATAGAGTTTGGTAAAAGTAAATAAAGATTATAGTATACACCTAGACCTGAAAGATGCTTCAAATAGGCGATACATTAAGTACCAGCTTTGTTTCACATTTATTATTTAATAAGTATTATTATTTTTGTTTACAGGTGATCCGATTGATTTCATGTCATGGTTTTTGAATTCATTACACATGGCACTGAATGGAACTAAGAAACCAGATAGTTCAATTATTTATAAGTCATTTTTGGGCCACATGAGAATTTATACACGGTATGAATTTACATTTTGTATCGCAATAAACCAAATCTTTAGGTTAATTAATAAAAAGCTTTAAAAAATTCATTGTTTTAATAGAGGATGTCTGTAGAATTCATTTCTTATATAGATCAGCAAAAAAGCAATTATTAACTAACATTAGATAAATTATAAAATTTAAATAATTGAATATTGTTAATAGATTTCTGTGTTTTCCAGAAAACTTCCACCACCGGATGCAGATGATGCTGCTAAGGTAGATTTAAACAGTGAGGAATATAATGAGATGATAACAGAGTCCCCTTTCCTTTATCTCACGTGTGACTTACCGCCAACGCCACTATTCACTGACGAATTTAGAGAAAATATTATACCACAGGTAAAATACTAACATTATTTTATTATATTAGTATCTGTATAATCAATTTATGCAAAAATTATAGGAATAGAAAGATTTTTATGTCCGACTATGTATAATGCCAATCTATAAATTTTTATTACATTGAATTCTTGTGATTTGTCATGTCAGGCCCCACGTCATGTTCTTGTGTTTTCCGTGAAATATAAAATAATTCTCATAGTACTCAGTGGGGCAATACAAGTCAAAAGGCTAGTAGGTCTGCTTTTTAATGATTTTTGTGTTGCTAAAAATCAACCTTTGACTTTCAGGTTTTATGCACTTATGTAAACAATAAGAAACAAATCAAGAAGAAATGTTACTAATAACTTTCTAATTTCTCACATTTCAGGTTAACCTGTACCAACTATTATCAAAATTCAATGGGCAAACATCGAAAGAGTACAAAACATATAAAGAAAATTTCTTGAAAAGGTTTGAGATTACTCAGCTGCCACCTTACCTCATACTTTATATTAAGAGGTTTACTAAAAATACCTTTTTTGTAGAGAAAAATCCCACAGTTGTTAATTTTCCTGTCAAGTAAGTTTAATCTAATTACATTTTATAAACGTATTTTGTGTATCTATGTATCAAGTGTATACATTTGTCTTTTATTCGAACATATCGTTTCGTCATTACCTTCTAAACTTTCGTCAAAATGTGCCGTCGTGATGTGCGGTTACTGTGTCGTCCGTAATTATGTTTAAACAGTGAAACAATCGTAAACTCTTCAGTTCAATTGGATAAATTACAGTAATATACATTTAGTTATTTTTTAACTATTTACACTAAATACACAACAAAAAAGACCTAAACAAAAATAAAAATAGCAATCAGCTGTTAAAATATTTTTTTATATTTAAAAAAATTATTTATTGAGTGGGGTATTTACTATTTAGTAGCCCTTTTTAACTTAAGGGTTTAATGGTACTTTTAAATTCTCCTTTTATATATGGACGAAATAAAGAGATGTTTTAATTTTTTTTCTTTATAGTGAACTTTCTTAATGTTGTTTAATTACTGGTATTCTAAATTATAAAGAATTTGGAACCACTAAGATATTATTTATTTTCCGATTTGTTGCAGAAATGTAGATTTTGGTGATATCCTGACACCAGAAGTAAAAGCAAAATACAAAGGGAAGACAACTTATGAGTTAGTAGGTAATATACTTCACGATGGTACACCAGAAAAGGGCACCTACCGAGCACATGTACTGCACAAACCTACACAGCAGTGGTGAGTCTGGGAAAACTCTATAAATAGCAAAAGATAGATTTATTAGATTTATTAATTAAACACAATAATGCGACATGATCAGTCATCCTGTTTTTTTTAAAGTTCATTAATTAATAAACTTATAGGTACTTTGAATACACTGTATAATGCTTTACATTTTATATATTATGTATTTCTCTACTAAACTCAACAAGTACAGAACCAAATTTATAAGACAACATTAAAGTTAATATGTCACATATATTGTAAGTGAAATCTATAAACATGTCCAATAAACAATTTAAAAATAATAAATAACAAGTTAAATTTTTGTCTGATAAATATTCATACATATAATTGGTTAATCTTAAACACATCTTATATATTTCACATAGGTCATTCACACAAAATAAAGAAAACTAAATTGAAATTGGTTACTGATACTTAAAAATTAATTATAGTAGTTTTCTGAATAGTCCAGGATCCATCGCCCATTTTTGCACTTGATTACTATCAAGCTAGTTTTCCGTGAGTAGCTTTATTTTGATGAGACGCCCAATAATTTCCTGTACGAAACTCTCGATTGTGGTAGCTAACAGAAGTAGCAAGGATAAAATATGTTGATTTGATGATTCTCAAATATTTATTACTAACTGAATTTATTTATCACGAGTGAAGAAAGTGAAACAGATGAATCTGATGAAGATTAACTTCTTTATATATGAATACACAAATTTTTGTACCTAGATTACTAAAAAATAAAGTTATTTAAATTTTAAAAAATATTTTTTCACTGTATCTTATTTTACAAATAGGAAAACGAAAAAATTAAAATTCTTGTCGGACTAGTGACACATACCTGTTTTCTTGTAGGACGTTGTTTCATTTGGGCAGAGAACACACTAACCTAATGGGACCCAAAGGGATTATTTACTAAAGCCCAATTACTATATAGGGATACCTTTACCCGTTAAGTACCTCCACAAAATATGAGCCCATATATAAGGCCCCTAAGGAGACAGGATAGATTATAAAAAAATTACCATCAAAATTCCCGAGCGCTCAATTAAGGTAGGGTGAGTTAATTACATCCTAAAAAGTGTATATTCCATAATCTACAATTTGAGAGTGATGAAAAAAGGGAGCAACAAATTTAAAAAAATCATTCACATTCTCGAGCGTAGCTAATTTTTCTTTTATTTTGAAGGAAATAATTCCAGAATAATGAAAAAATATATAATTACATTTCCAACAAATAACAAAAATTTCATAAAGTTAAATGCGTGCAGCTCGTGATGCCTACATTTCCTTAAACCGATCGAATCTATAAACGGCTTCAAAATATTTCCCTCAAAATTACATTTCCTGTAATTTGAACATTCGAATAGATTTTGAGAAATTTTGAAAAATCTTAAAAAAATAAGAAATATTTTTTTTTAAGTGGTTTCTTTATCATCAACTTCAAAAATAATCCGCCTTTAGCTTGAAAAACCACGTCATCGCCACCAAGCTGGTCAAAAGCGGTTATTCGTTCAGAGATATCGTACATGAAAGAAACCCGAAAAAGTGTTTTTCGGATTATCCAAATTTTGTCATCAATTAAAATTGCAAAATTATTATAGAATATAAAACTCTCGAATCCCAACCTGAAAATTGCTGATCCATTCAAAAGTTATTGCGGTTTGAAAATTCCAAAAATAGTGTTCTATGAAATTCTATCAGACTTTCGAGCTGGGAGAGCTCAAATGCATAGAAATTTATTTCTTTGAATCAGCGAGCTAAAATATCAATTTTAAGCCCCAGAATGGAATTAGCGGGAAGTTGCAGGGATGCCCTTTAGGTGAACCTTTTTTATTTTTTTTTGTCAGATCAGGCAATCCCTCTAATAATCGTCAGATTATGAGACAGTACGTTTAGAACATAAAGATAACCACATATATCTTAATCTACCCTTATATTTCAAAATTGCGTTTTTTTTTGCAAATTAAGAAAATGGCTGTGGGTTTGCGTCCCATCGAAATCGTCAATTAGTGAATGAGAGATTTTTTTGGTGCACTTAACACTCCCTTAGAAAATCTGACGCGCTCGATAAATTTTTTTTTTATTTTCAACCCTTAAATACAACCACCCCATCATGCAAACGATCAGATTAACATACGTACATTATTAAAAATACGTAGGGCATAGATGCTATCAATATCTGACCGAGGATGTCCATCAACAGTTTTATTTTACATATTTAACTATCTATAGCCCTTCCCCCATAAAAGGAATTTATCATATAACATTTTTTTCTTCTTTTTATCTAACTTTGTATCCCAATAGGTCTCTACACTCAGTAAATCCCTTTAGCATCGTGGGCTCCCTACCATTATATGATATTTTTCTCCTACAGTTAGTAATGAGAAAAATGGTCTTGTGGTATTAACAATTTCTGAGCGTAGGACCGGGATAACGTACCGCGCAATTTGTAGGACAATATGTCTGTTAAATTACATGAATATTAACTAAGTTAAATTACATGAATATTAATTTAAAAAAAAGAAATCAGCTGGTTAGTAATCATTTATGATGACCTCGTTATCGATACATGGCGGAAAGAGGGGACTCTTTGATCAAACCATAGATTTTGTAGGACAAATATTTTTTCGAATAATTTAGATAATTGTCTTGAAATTTAACAAAAAAAAATTCAGTTAGTAATAAATATTTGAGAATCATCAAATCAACATATTTTATCCTTGCTACTTCTGTTAGCTACCACAATCGAGAGTTTCGTACAGGAAATTATTGGGCGTCTCATCAAAATAAAGCTACTCACGGAAAATTAGCTTGATAATAATCAAGTGCAAAAATGGGCGATGGATCCTGGACTAGAACCACACTATGAAACTATAGTCGGTCAAACTTGTTAACTTCAATTTCAGATAAAATTGTTTGAATTAAATTGCAAAAACAAAGTTAACACCTGCTAAAATATATACTATATGTGATATATTACATCAGCATTGTTTTGTGTTAATTTAAAGCCAATATTGTTTGTATTTTCCAGGTATGAAATGCAAGATCTTCATGTAACAAGTATATTACCACAAATGATAACCTTAACTGAAGCATATATCCAAATATATGAGTTAAAAGATGACTGAAATAAAATGACATAAAAAGTTATTAATAATGTTTTTATTTATTGAATATACAAATACCAGCTACCTGACTGATTACAACTGTAAAATTCTTAGATTAATACAGAAATATACAATTTTACTGTCTTTTGACACAATCAGATTCTTAGGATACTTGCAACTTTAAATACTTAAAATGCATCTTAATTTTAGTTCATCACTTTGCAATTTAATGTCGTATTTTAGAAGTCAATCCATTCTGTTGCTTGCGATGTGCAAGAAATAACAGATGTTAGAAGCCAACAACAATAACTTCACCTAACAAAGGTAATAGCGGAAAGGCAATATAGGAGTGAGGAAGTGTTGTTACTATATAATTAAGTATATCTTTTAAACAGGGCTACTAAGAAGCGAGTACACATTACCAGGATAATTTCTAATGTGTGATGTTATTCATAGTTGACTCCTTTTTAATGCTTCTAAAATTTAACGACACAATTGCAAAAGTCTGGGCTAGTGGCTTTCTCCCTTTTTACCAGCGACCCGTTTGAATTCTCCCATGTTTGTTGTTGATATTGGTGACCCATAAAAGGCTAAGTGATCAATTTGTGTTACTTCATCCCCGGCCTGATTGTCTTTTATGAATAACTGAATGTTTTGAACACTCTGGAACTTGACAAATTTCAAGGGTACAGGGTTACCCTCCAAGTCATTTGGTGTCATCCTAAAAGTAATATCTTTTATTAGATTTAACATTATATTACCTGAAAGCGTTATTGAAAGGGAAATATTGACAGACATGTATGCATTTCTATGCTAATCTGTTCATACATTATCAAATTACTTTTTCAGTCACTTATTATTTTACCTCAAATTTGTATTGAAATTGCAATTGAAATTTAGCATGTCATATTAACAAATACTTGGTATTCAAAGAAAGAAGTATTTCAAAATCTTAAATTGAACAATGCTTACTCCAACTCCTGAATTGATGCATTCCCAGAGGCCTGGTCAAAATCAAGAGTTCGTGGTTGGTTGATAAACAGTTTTATAAACTTAGGTCCTTTATCAGCTGGTGCTTTGATCTTAAGGGAATGTAGTTTAACCAACTAAAACATGAAAATATTTCTTGTAATTTATGTAAATTATTTTATTAAATAATCTTTAAAGCTAGACTCTGTAAGGATTAACATAATGCACATAGTATAAGTTGGTTCTTATTTTATATTATGTAATAGTCAGCTACTTCATACCTGATTAAATGATATATTGATAATTAGCTGTTCATCACAGTCACTGGCCAAGTATCCACCTCCACTAGTTAAAGCATGGGTGAGTGGATGGTTGTCTGCCTCATTCAAACATTCACATTCACTCTTGGTTATAAAAGTCACTAAGTCCATCTGTAAGTAAAATTAGGTGGTTGAAAGGAACTTTATACCATTACATACAACTTATGAACCAGAGTAATGAACAAGTACAATGTTGTTTTACATTTTTGGTATACATACATGTCCAGCAACAGAATTATCCTCATCCCCAGCATCTTCTGTGCCGTAATGTTGCCTTACTTTATTTTCTAGAGTAGAATTATCTGCACCTTGAAGACGGTCAACTCTTGTCTAAAATTTTAAATGACGAAGGCATCATATAATTTTGTTATATTCACAAAGCATATTTTTCAGGCTATATTCAAATCATTCAATAAATTATTATTACTTCATGTCAATACTCACTCTATTGCGATAAAATATGAATGTCGGCATAGCAGTGACGCCCTGAGTACTGGCAGTTTCTGCACATCTATCGACATCCACTTTTAAGAAAACTGCCCTTGGGAATTTCGCAGGTAATTGCTCAAAAAAGGGAGCAATTCGCTGACATGGTGGGCACCTTTAATGAGAAATATTATGCTTAAACATGATTCAATAATGACGATGACTAGGAGATTTTGAAACAAAGGTTATATTTACCAAGTTGCTGTAAAATCTACAACAACCAGTTTAGTCCCTGCATTGGCCATTTCTGATTGGAAATGGGCTTCATTTTCTATTACTGTAGCTAAACCCATTTTAATTAACGTATCCAAAAATCATCCAAAATACTAACTTGAATCCAAAAAACAAAATTTCACTTTTCTAATGACAATTCACTTTTAAGGTACGACAATTGACTTGACTTATGTCAATTTTTTGATAACAGGATATAGTTGGACTTGGATCAGTGTGACCGTTTTTAGTATATTCTGTACCAAATTGGTATAATTTGGGCTCCGTGTAACTAATTTAGTATTTTTTTGGTATCCTTTTATATTCTGGTATTTTTTGGTACATTTAAACTTTCAACATTTTAAAACACATTTTGATATATTTTTGGGCTTGGCGGGAAACACTCACTTCCATTCGTTCGTATTTCGTTCACATGTTTTTGTCTTTGTCTGATGTTTACCGCTAATGTATAATTTTGTCTCTTTCGAACGGTTAATGCTAACAAATTCGCGAATCGTGCTTTAGCTACGTATTACTATCTACGTTACATGCTGTATTTTTATACATGAGGTCCCTTTTGGGACCACGGATGTTTTAGTTCTTTATTTATTTCTCTCTGTGTGCATGTGTAGTGAAGATAATGAAGCGCAAATACGATCAGAAATATAGATCTGAGTGGAAACAAAATTCTGAATTTTCGTCATGGTTGACAAAAGATAAAAATAATGAGAACGCCTTGTATAAAACGTGTGGAGAAACATTTTTAAGCAGAATCGCTACAATTAAAAGTCATGCATATTCTGAAAAACATCGATAGAAACTTATACATTATAGTGGACAATCCAAGGTAAGAAAGCTATGCCCCCATTAACATATTTATAAGGTTATTGTGTATCCCTTATTTTTTATGGCACATGAATTAATTGTCCTACTTCTACAGGATGTCCGATGAATCTTGGATAGTACATGTACAGTTGTACACACATGTATAATTGATTTAAATTCATCAAATTAATCAAATCCTGTTTATTTTCAGAACGATGATAAATTACTTCAAAGGAAAGAACCCATATCTGAAGAAGTAAGAAAAGCAGAGCTTATATTTTATGCAGCGTTGGCAGAACATAACATACCATCTCGGGCCATGGATCATCTCAGCGATTTATTCAGCAAAATGTTTTATGATTCGGAAATCGCAAAGGCCTTTCCTGCAAACGCACTAAATCTGCTCAGTTAGCTCAGTGCAGCGAATACTGACTTAGTATTTGTAATAAAACTTATTGTAAATATTTATTATTATTTGAATATGTCTGTATAATGAAGGTGTGTAATTGGTAAAATTAAAAAGTAACTGATAATAAGTGTTTTAATAAAAAAATCCTCTTTTTCTTTTAGTATATTTTTAGTATAATTCAGCATGTGTTTTAGTATTATTTAGTACTGGCACCTTGTAGTTTTGGTAGATCGCCATTTTTTAAAACGGTCACACTGACTTGGATTCGCTATGGCTATCCTTACAAAGAAGGCGTTCGTATAGGTCGGTTTTATCGAAAGCTGGCGCGTTCACAGTACTCACACTAATGCAATTTCACTATACAGTATATTTAAAAATATGACTTTTTTGCCAAGCTATATATTTTAGTCTACTCTGGTTTTAGTAAGGTTGGGTGGGTTGTAAATAAATAAAAATGTATCAAATACATATAAATATTATATGCATACGAGGGTGGATCCAAAAGTTCTAAGCCCGACCAAGAACGTAAAAGAGTAGTTTGTGTAAATAATTTTTCATTTTTCGACATAAGCTCCATCTAGCTCAACACACTTCACTTTTACTTCACTAACTATTCTTTTAATACTCCTCTTAGAAACCCTATCTGATGTCAAATGAAATATAATTTTTTTTCATTAAACTGTTTTTATTAAGATGCTTAAAATAATTAAAAATATTGTGCACCATTTCACGAGATTGCCCTGGTAATGTTTGAAAAAAGATCAACATGTACAGTAAAGATCAACATCAACAGTAGCAAGAGCAAAACAATAACTGTCTCTTTTATACTCATAAGCTTGACCGAGCGCGAGAGAGACGGACAGTCTTTTCATGATGTATTTGTGATTGTATTTCAGTTTGACATCACGCCTCGCGCTTATTCACAGACACTACACAAGCACAAAGTGTAAATGTGTTGAAGCCGCCAGCTTTAAATGACATACCAATACCGACAATTACTAAACTATTGTGTCTACTTATTATACCCGCGAACTGATGAACGCGATATTTATTATTTTTATTGCACTATAATCTCACATTATTAAAATTTGGAGTTTATTATCTACATAGATGAAATGGCTACTTACAGTAACAAACGTTCTTGGGTACGATAGTGTTAGGAATAGTACATTTGTATGGTTGGAAATCTCAAATCATGTTACGTAATAATTAAAAGCCAACCGTACCTTCTCTTTTTATTTTATATAATGTTTCTTCTGGCTTCTCAATTATTCGCTATAAGATTTATTTTCACAATATTTCTAATTAGAATATAAATATTATAAGGAAAATATAAACTTAAAAAATGATAGCCTGGAGCGATTTTCTTATTTCAATTAACGCCTTTAGTACACCTACGCAATCGCATGCGGCAGCGAAACGACGAAAAAACTGTAAGTTGTATGGCAATGTTTCGCATGTGTTTTGTCTCGCTCTATTATATAGCTAGATGAAATAGTTGCGTCCTTGTCGGTATTGTTTCGCAAGTAACTGCGAAATGGCTGTTACACAGACGCAGCCGTTTCGCTAGCGGAGTTTCGCATCGCAATGCGTCACCACGCGTTCTGTCAGTGAGGACAGAATTTCGCACAATGGAAGCCGAAAATATTGAATTATTATTAAATTTGATTCGAAATTATCCCGAATTATATTTAAGGCGTAAGGTAGAAATTCGAGATATCTGTACCTCTATACGTTTCTCTTCAATTTAAAGTAATATAAAAGTGTAAAAAATATTGAATGATAGTCGCAAAAATTCTGTCTCTAATATTTTTTTTTCTCTCTTATTTCATTAGATATGACCGCCGTGAATCCGTCGATAAACAAAATGATATGCACCCAGTTTTCCATTTACTTGAAACATAATATCTGAATTTGAAAATGCGTGTTTAATGTTAAAGCTTAATAAAATTAGTTTAATTAAAACGATCAAGTATAAATCGTATCAGTATTCTTTAGTTACTTATTAAAATAAATCACAACACTCTGTTTCTGTTTATCTTTGACCGCAAACGGCTATTTTTATTCATCTCGGAGATTTGAGAAAATTGAAAACAAATCCTGATTAATTCGCTGAATCTCATCTTCTCAGCAAACCGTAGGATATATAAACATTTGAGTTGCGAAGAATAATTCAGTCACCGCACTCAAAGATAAGCTTTCCAGTGGTGTCCAGTGCAATAAAAAATTCGTGATTTTTTCGTCATTATGCTAACTAATTGGTGTAGAGTGTACCTGCTGTTGTTTTTATTTTTTTTTAATTTTGGAATTAAGATCTGTTTGCCAACTATTAATACAAATTTAAAATTGTCAAATGTTCCAATTAGATCAGATTTGGATACATTTTTGAATGTACTTAAAAAAGTGAGCGAATATTACCGTAAGAATTTAAGTGTAATTGATTTAAGCGCATATTTCGGAATTTTCTTGGCAAATGGTGTGTATTCCATAAATCTACAGCATGTATATATTTTTGTCGGTTTATTTAATAATGTGTACCCTTTTTTTTGAAGAACCACAAGTATTGTTGAAATAATAATGAGATAATGATAATAGAAATAATGAGTTCTGCGTTTCGCGTTTAAGACAAATCTGATATCGAAATTAATAATAAAACTACAAAACAATTGGTGAATAACCGAGATACATTTTATTTTTGCAGTCAATTTAAAACACGCGTTGGACAATAAGCGGCGCCGATTAAAAGGTGAATCGCAATTACACGAAATAATTGATTTGAACGCTGACATAATGAGACATTTTCACGTTAAAGATAGAGAAAATAATAAATTAAACAATGAGGAGAAAATGAGTAAGTGAGCTTTGATTTAATTGATAAATATATATGTATTATAAATTATTAGTGTTTAGAATAATGCAATACCTAATAGTAATCTTTTATTTTTTTATTAATGCTATTTTCGGGTCGTGAGAACATTAAAATTAGTGTGTATACAATTAAGGCCCGATGGCCAATTTGCGTCTCTATAGGATAAATCTTTTGACAGCTTGAAACTGGATAAAAGTTTATACTTTTAAATATTTTTTTTTAAACTTAATTACAGATTTGTAATGTCTATATAGCTAACATACTACCCGACAGAAAAAATAATCAAGTATTAAATAAATTTTTGTTATATTTAATCGATTTAGTAGATGTACCATTTCTATTTTGATCAAATTAGTTAATTTTATTACAGTATTAAAACTTTTTTCCAACGAGTCGGAATGGATTAAAAGTATCGACAACTTTACCTCGGCTAAAATACAAGAGCGCACTACAGAGGCAACTCGATATATTTTGAGCGATTTGAAGAGCTACTCAGATAAAATACAAGCGGTTGATGATGGAGTTCCGAATCCTAAAAAATCTGGTAAAAATTGTGATTCACATTACATTAAATCTCCTATATAATCCTATATTACCTATAGCCTTGAAATATATATTATAGAAAATCAAACACTACGCGCCATTCTTTTGTTTAAATTTTCACCCCCTTGTCGTCGTAAAAGTGTTAAACTTGCGATGGACTTGTTCAACCCCAAATAAATGGTTGGTGATACTACCGTTACAAGAAGCAGCAGTTATCAATGTCAATTAGAAATCTTGTTTTATCTTAAATATCCTGTAATTATATTAAATAATTAAATCAATCATGGGTTAAAAAAATATGTAATGACAAGGATACGAAAGGGAATGTTGCCTTGTATATTCTGCTCGTTAAGAGACAACCGTGGATGCTGAAATCGGTTTGGGTAGGCTTTGTCGTATATACCTGGGCCAAATTCTGGACCAGAGAAAAGACATGGTAAAAGTAGCTTGCATTGTGAATGTCAAGAAAGCGAGACGACCAGACCGTAGTAAGTAGAGATCCGTGGTCTCTGCCTACCCCTTCGGGAAAGGCGTGTTTATATAAATAAAATAATCAAAACTTTTTTCCTTTCCCCACAGAATTCTAAATTACGTGCTTAATCATCGCTGAATCGCGCACAAATGTGTGTTGTAATTTTAGAATTAGCATTTATGTTTTGCAGATAAATGCCTAGCATCGCTTGCTTATGGACTATTAAATTCACAAAGAATTTGTACGATCGACAAATCTTGTTACGAGGTATTAAAAAATGGTACAAACTATGGTTACGCTTTGACACATCGGTGAGTGGGTACCTCCTCTTTCTTTATATCTTGACAGCTATAACATGAATCGTATTCATATGAAAAATTATCAGCGCCTCTGGTTGCCAATCTTTAAAAGCAACAATTCATTACGTTTGTTTAAATTTTCATTCAAGTTACTTTTCGCATATTTTATCGTTCAATACTTAGTCAAATTCCATAATAGAAGTACCTGGTTTTATTAATTATTTCATCAATTACAATGCAATCAGTATAGAGCCGATTGAAGCTAAGGAAGAAATTCCCAGAATGAGTGGCTATTAAATTGTTTGAAAGAGCCTCTACTCGAAACTTCATGTTATGTAAATAATGTTATAAATTCGTGTTTAAGATGTTAAGAGTACCCGTACCCTGTAACTTCCAATAGCGAAAGCAATACTAATCCCGTTGTTTTGTATGAAATGTTTGATTGATAGCAGGTATTCAATATCCATAGGGCTAATGTCGCAAGTTTGGGATCGTGCAGACCAAATTCTCATTATTGGGGTCGGGATCGTTGTCGGTATCGCTATTTGAAGTTACAGAGTATGGAAATTACTATTCGTGATGAATTGTATGGAAATGATATTATCTCACGCTTTGTCGTCTGCCCATTTCCATACCAACTCGTTTGTTGTTAGTGGGTCTCGCTTGTCGAAAAGTGATTTGGTCTCCATCCCCAGCAGTGTTATACGCGGAATACAAACTTTGCTAATATACTTTAAACACAATTAATTTCACTTATTAAATATCTTTTTACTTTCATGATAATTTATTTTGTAAAGTTCTGTCTTTGTGTAGAGAAGATTCTTTATTAGTGGTAAAACGCCTGTTGCTTTACAATAAGCAATGTAGTATTTTGTGTGAATAACATTTCATAGTTAAAAGTCGATTCCATGTATGACATGTAGAAGTCACGAAGACACTATCACGATCTATTTATTTAAGGCGTATCTTAAATCGGTTCCGTGGAGAACAAACCAAGAAACTTAACTGGGAGTAAAGCTCTTTTAGTTTGAAAAGTGCACAAGTGCACATTAAAAATCAGTCAAATCCTTTAGTTAATTATATTTAGTCAGACTTTAAAGAAAAATCCTTATCACTCCGCTGCTTAAATGTATAAATAACTTTATTCATATTAAAACAATATATATACTTATATATTTATATGAGAACTTAATTTTCCTTCTCAGACTGCTTCTCCTTCAAATGGCCCACTACAGCCGTCATTGTAGCATTTTCTCAAAGTCAGAAGATCGCTACTTCTCCAACAGGTTCTGTTCAATGTTGTACGTAGAGGCTGAGTTCATTGCAATTCAGGATTTTGAAAATGGCTTTGTTGATTTAATGTTGGAGATAAGTAAGTATTGCCGCTGTTTGTCTAGTATTTAAAAGTTCAAGTATTTTCTGTAATGATTCAACTTAAAAGGTACTTGACCGATTATTGCTGTAGTTTTTTAATTGCAAGCTACGTCGGTAGAGTAAATTAGAAATACATTACACATAAATAATACCTAAATATTTCTCTATAGAAAAATTCAATTTATTTGCGTGAAATAAGCAATGTATGTAACGAAAGAGAATTAGCTGTTGTCAATTCATTATTGTTTTGCTTAAAATCTTTAATTGTTTTGTTTTTGTACAATTGAATATTATTCTTCAAGGTTGTTTTAAAAATTTTAGTGTGTCTCTGCGGTCTTCACGGCCACGCGCAGTTCCTAAACAGAACTTGGCTTGAGCGGATCAAACGATTTCAAACGCCATACGGTTGCTTCGGTTTGGATGTGAAAAAGATGGAATATACTTTCAGACAAGAGGCTCTCAGGTGGAAACTATACCGGAGTAGGGATTATGATACTCTAGAGGGTCTTTGTAATGAACACGTAACGTCTCTCGCTATGGCTACGTATGCTGAGGCAGTAAGGTTTATTTTAGAGATCTACTATTAGACAAATTTGTCAATTGATTGAAATACGCATGTTATTAAAAAATACCGATAAAGTTATCTACACCAGATATGGTATATTTAAATTTATTAAAAATACCATATCTACACTAAATCTGTGCCACAGGTTATAATGCAAGCACGGCACGATTTGTTTATGGATGTTAGATATATCTACCTTACCAAAGAGTGTTTGAGGAAATACTTTAGGAAGCGGGAAGACTTTGCTTTTATTTAGCAGTAGTAACAATTTCTTTTTTCTTTTAAATATTAAGTTATAGTTTGTCTATATTTAATTTCAGTTTTCTTTTTTTTATCTATTAATGTAATTAATTGCCTTATGTTTTCTGTTTCGAATATTTTGTTTCATAATGATATTTGTCTCTGTAATATGTACGTATATATGTGTAGCTGTAAGATAACTTATAATAACCTCACATTGAATCATGTGTACTATTAAAAATGTGTAGTATATTTTTTATAGTTTTTAAGGAAAATCCAAATTATAGAAAACGTTGTGATAACTTGTATTAAATTAAGGTTCTTCGTAGGACCTCAAGCTTGCTAGTTGATTTTGCATTGCCTTTTAACTTTCGTTAATGGATGATTGGAAGAAATCAGATTTATAGTTACTGCTTCTAAAAAACATAAAAATCTGTTTAATTGAAATCACAATAAATTATAGTCATAATGATTTGACATACGTTAGATGGAGCGGATGCATTAAGTTCCTCGTTAAAGGTCTACTTGGTGATTGTGGAAAGTGACAACATGTCGGCCTCGATATACATAAATAAGTACAAAATCAATGTCGGCCGGAATTATTACATCATTTCCGTGCTCTAGGGAGAGTCATAACTATAATTTGATTCGACCATTAATTAAAACAGTTAATTAAAGTTTACGTTAAAATATATTTTCGACATGTTTTAATTTAGATCAATTGCACATTCCAGAGTCATATACAGCTATGTAGGTAATAAAGCTTCTTAGTATTGGAGTGCATTATATGTTTCCGCATAATAAAACTGATTGTTTCGAGGAAAAATCGCAGTCAATATCCTGACGAAGGTGTCTTATAACTTTACCTTTGTTATTCAGAAAATTATATATGCACACATATTTGGTATAATAAATTTCATTCATGTAAAAAATTTACATAATGTATCACATATATTCATTAGTATTAGAATTTTCATTCAATTCTAATTATATATTTCTCATAATTAGTATTTTGTTAGTTTGTAATTTTGTATAATGCATGATGTGTTTGACTCTTAAAGGATGTCCAATTAGTTTTTAATTTAGTTTTCCTTTGTTCGTTTATAGGCGAGATTAGGCGAGATAAGATTTTATTGTAGTGCCCGTTGGGACATACTCATCCCATATTTAAATAAAATAACATTGTTAAAATTACTTGTATTTAAATAAATATGTAACCTACATGTCACCATAGAGATGGTTCGTATATTAATTTATTGACAGACTATAGCCAAATTAAAATGCAGTACAAGTCCCGTTGGGTCCTGGGTTCATTTCTTTCATTGTCCGCGTACCGTTAGTTAGTGGTACGTTCGTGCATTTTAATATTCTCATTACAAAATCCATCCATCAGTGACCTCATCGCCCAAATGTTTGAAACTCTAATTTAACTACAATTACGATTCTTAATAAACAACTTATTAATATAATTTAAAAACAAATTTGAAGACATATGTAAGTAGTATTTTGATCGACTTCAATAAGCCCGAGTAGGATTACGAGTAACGATTCGAATCGCATATATAATTATTTAGTTATTAGTAACCTTACAGCTAACATACATATTATACGACAAATCACTTAGACAATATAAAAAGGGCGTGTTTTTTATGTGGGCGCGAAAAAATAATTTTTTTTCCTTTTTATAAAAAAAATTTTTTTTTTTCCCAAAAAAAATTTTTAAATAAAAAAAAAAAAAAAAGGGGGAAGGGGATTTTTTTTTTTTTATTTTTGTTTTTTTTTTTTTAAAAAAAAAAAAAAAAATTTTTTTTTTTTTTTTTTTTTCCCTTTTTTTATATATATATTTTTTTTTTTTTATTTTTTTTTTTTTTTTTTTTTTTTTTCCCCCCCCCCCCCCCCAAAAAAATTTTTTTTTTTTTTTTTTTTTTTTTCCTTTTTTAAAATTTATTTTTTTTTTTTTTTATAAAAAAACCCCCTTTTTTTTTTTTTTTTTTATATAAAAAATTTTTTTTTTTTTTTTTTTTTTTTTTTTTTCCCCCCCCCCCCCCCCTTTTTTTTTTTTTTTTTTTTTTTTTTTTTTTTTTTTTTTCCCCCCCCCCCCCCCCCCCCCCCCCCCCCCCCTTTTTTTTTTTTTCCCCCCCCCCCCCCCTCTTTTTTTTTTTTTTTTTTTTTTTCCCCCCCCCACATAAAAAAATATAAAAAGCCAAAACAGAATACATAGATAAGCAATATGTACGAGTATGAAGCAGAAAACATAAGTAAACGTACATTAATAGACAAAAATATATTTAAAAAAATTAAAGAAATTAAAAATAGATTCACAGTTAAAATATTTTAGCTATGATAAAGACTCAGACATATTAATCTATTAATATAGCAATAGTAACAACTACAATACCAATCGACTTACAATTTCTTGAAAAAACTATTATTAGATATAGTCCGAAGCATGTACGAGTAGTATTTCAACTTAATTAATTAATAAATAAAGCCCTGAAGCGTAATATTACAAGTTCATTTAACAGTTTTGCGTGTTTTCGTGCACTGACCTTTTAAAAAATCGACATTAAAACAATTATTTTAAACTCCTTTAAACAATATTTTTTAGTTCACTATTTAATAAGAAAATATTATAGTTTGAAATTAGTTTGTGCATAGTTTAATTTATACTATATATGATTAGCGTTACTTACATGGACCTTGAGTTCGATTCCCTCAGAAACAAAAATGGTTTCAGGTTGGTAAGGTACAGCATTTGATCAGTTACATATTCATACGGGAAAATTATGTTTATAAAACAGATGTATAGAGGAAATTAAAGTGTTGTAGTGGCAGTTAAGCGGTGGATTAATAGTTGTAATTGGTATAAGGTTGACCTAGAAAAGCTCCTTTCTATTTACAAGTAAAAAATATAAATAACTAACGTTTATCACAATTTATTAATAAAAAAGTTTGATATATGTATTACATATTTTTGCGCCCTATTTAATAGCCATGCTATTCTTACAACGAAAGGTATTAGGAAATACTCTTTCTTAAAAGACCTTGTCCATTTCCACCTATATAGTTTTTCAATAATATGTTTTTAAATGGAATGCTATTGACGTCACAACTGCCAATAAAATGATAATAATATTTTTTTGCTATCGATTTTTGTCATGTTAGACAGTTGTCTATGAGTAGGCTTTTCAACGCGATAAGATCGAATTATGGGTTATAATCTTGTCTAGTGAATAAATCAGAGTGTATATAGGGTTATTAGCTAAGAAATTGGCTGATTAAGGAACATTATAAGTAAAACAGACGTTCTAGCTAGATACATATCTAAGAACTTGCTTTTGGAAATTCAACTTTGATTGTCTATGAACCCGTAGAAAAAACACGTGGAATTTGTTTCTATTCTTATCTGATTATAACGAATAAAAAATCTATATAGTAGACTCGGCCAAGCGTTGCAGTGGCTAAGTTTTTTGGTATCTTACATAGTAGTAAACTATTACTACTAACGATAGGAGAACACCAGTCATGGGAACTACCGTGCTTTTGTTGGTGGTTATGCCATTAAATTGTAGCTTATGTGAAACGTTGGTACTTTCAACACAGCGCCATCTGTTAGAATTGTGACTGTCAAATAATAAACAAATAATTTGCAATAAAATAATATTGCGGATATAAATTAAGATATAAGCTATCCTATCTTTTAAGTTAGATCAAACTGCACACGGTGTGCTAATTTGATTGAAATCGGTTAAGTAGTTTAGGAGTCCATAGCAGACAAACAACTTGACGCGTAATTTATATATATTAAGACTATTAAACGCAATTCCCAAATTGTATTGTAATCTTAATGTTTCCTTATTACGTTTAAACGTGTTGTTTAACAACACGTTGAAGTTATTCTTTCATAAAATTATAAAAACATAATATAAAATTATTAAAGTAAACAAAAATATTGTTACAAACACAAAATTAAATATGTATCCTCGTAATCTCAAGCTGTTCTTTATAAGAACTCTTAGTGGTACAATGAAAAATATTAATTACAAATACGATATGATGACTCAGGCAGTTATATTCATAACCAAGGAATAATTCTTCCTTTTGAAGGTTAGTTCTCACACTCGTAAAGGCCTAGATGAAAATAAGAGTGTGTCTTACAGGTGCCCATTAGGACTATAAATCAGTATACGTAACAATATAATAATATTACTCCTCATTGAGTCTTAAAGTTTGTCATTTGTCTGTAATATATCTTGAGAAAATAATTTATATCGTGATTGCATATTGAGCGTTGGCGCCACAATAGGTGCTAAAGGTACCTTCGTATGCCGCTGAGGTGTGGGGCCAACGACTGCTTGACATACATCGTGGGGACGTCTAGACATTATACGACAGATCTATATCAGTTAGGGCATGAAACGTCAGGTGAAAACAAACACTTGAAACATTTGGACTTGAAAAATACTAGGACTTAATAAAATATAGTTTCAAATTGTAATTTTCCGTGAAACTTGTTATGATTACAGTTGTATTTTTTTTTAAAGACAATTCACACCAATTGACCTAATCCCATGCTAAGCTGGTGAAGCTTGTGTTATGGGTACTAGGCAACGGATATACATATATATTATAGATAGATAGACATATAAATACATATTTAAACACCCAAGACCTAAGCACAACACTAAATGCTCATCACATCGTCTCAGCCGGGGATCGAACCCGGGACCCATGGATTCGCAGTCAGGGGTACTAACCACTTGACCAATGAATGTAAGATAA